TAGTTATATACTGAGTAAATACTAACGTTACTAGTACATGTAGTAGTAATCGTCATTAACACGAGGTTTCCATATTTGCTACAGAAACGTAACGAGAGGAACCCGGAGACCAACATGAGAGTAAAAATCGCTCTCCTCGCATTCTACAAAGCCATGGCCTTATTACCGTTTCTCCTCGTCCATCAAGTATGCGGTGGACAGCTGCCCCCTATCTGTCAGACCTGGAACTCCACTACCGTGGTGTGTAGAGGACAAGGCGGCCCATGGGACTACCCAACCCGCGCAACCCTAACCCACGTACCGCCCGGCATTCCCTCGTCTATCGTCACCTTGGATCTCAGCGGGAACAACATCACCGAACTGTACCCGAACTCTTTTGTAGGCTTGACTGCTCTTAAGTACTTGTCTCTGAGCCAAAACAACATTGCCAAAATACACAACGGGTCTTTCAATGGGTTGAGAAATCTGAGGAACTTGGATCTATCAGACACAGGTATTCAGGCCATTGAGATCGGTGCTTTTGCTGGACTTAATAACTTAGAACGGCTGGATATGAGTTGTTCAACGCAACACTCAACATTTGCTCTTCAAACTGGGCTTTTCACGGATCTGCAAAACCTCAAATATCTGGCACTTGAGACCTCTACCGAGAAAGTAGAGGTTGATGTGTTCAAAGATCTAACTAGATTGAGGTATTTATATCTTGGATTGAGCAGTTTAAGACGTTTGCCTGATCACGTTTTCGATTCCATGACTTTGCTGGAAAACCTGACGATGGTAGAAAGGGACATCCAGAGCGGGAGCGAATTCTTGCATCGAAATCAACTGTGGTCACCCCTCCTAAAACTTAGGACATTCCAACTCTTCGTCCAAAGTGTTGAGAATTTGAACTTCGGAGCTGTATTCAGACACTTACCTAATTTGGAGGAAATACAGCTGTGTTCTATTCATGAGAGACGAGTTAGGTACAGTGTTGAAATGTTCCTGCCACTCGTGTCAACGCTAAAACGGTTAGACCTGCGGTGTAGCGCTCACGTGTTCGTGGAGACCGATGATGTTCTGACCATAGAACCCGGCCTGCTGACATCACTCACACAGCTACAATCGCTGGACATCCCCTGGACTCAATTCTCGTACATAGCGGACGTTCTGCCCGAACTTAGACACACACATGTGCAAGAAATGTCCTTTGTTATGGATGGGATCGACATAATAACAGCTGATACTATGTCGACAATAAGAGGCTTGGACAAGCTGAAAACCTTATCTATATCTCTACCAGACACCCAAGTCATCAAAGCTAACTCTTTCACAAGTTTCACACATCTACAAAGGTTGGATTTAGCGGTAGGCATTCTAGATACGGTAGAAAACAAGGCGTTCAGTGGTTTATCCTCCGTCACCCATCTTATACTGAGCCATAATATAATTTCTACTCTACCACATGACGTGTTTGAAGGATTGTCATCTCTTCAACATCTTGATCTAAGCTACAACACCTTTTTGGAAACCTCGCAAGCCCGGCTTCCAGAGACCTTGGACTATCTCGACCTGAGTCATAACAACATCAACAGCTACATGAATATGGAAACATTTTCTATTGTCATATCATTCAACCTCACAGACTTGAAAAGCGTTAGATATGTAAACCTGAGTTACAACAGAATTTACGGTATTGAAAGTTCAATTTTGCCTTCTAACATGACTGTGCTCGACTTGCAGCACAACCAAATAGGGTATTCCTTGCCCGAGAGTCTTTTCTCAATTGCAGGTCTGACATATCTAGATCTTTCTCACAACGACATCAGAACTACGTCCCAAGCAACCATACAATCACCAACGTTAGAAACGCTTATGTTGAATAACAACGGTTTAGAAGGGATTGATGGAGAGTTTACGAAAGGACTGAAGAAACTGAAAACGTTGACTCTTTCGCACAACCACATCCGTGTCATAGTGAAAGAGAACTTACGGTGGTTGGTCGATCTGGTACAACTTGATCTTAGTAATAACGAAATCAGCACTTTAAAATCACTCTCCTTCCGCGGGTTATCAAGGCTAAAATCCCTGGATCTCAGTAACAACAAAATACAAAACATGACAGCGATGACATTTGCTGGATTGGACAAGCTACGAATCCTGAACTTGGCAGCCAACAGGATAGCAGTGACTGGGGACGCGTTTCATCGCTTATACGGGCTGAGACATTTGATTCTTATCAGCAACAGGTTGAGTGTTTTGAACCAAACCTCGCTGGGTCCTGTCGTTAATCGACTGGAAAGACTTGACGTTGCAGACAACCCTTTTCTGTGTGATTGTAAGTTATGGTGGTTTGTTGTGAGGACCCAAGACAAGTACGATAAGGTTTTGAACTGGTATAACCCATATCCTCGCTCTTATCAAAGCTACAAATGCTTCCGTCCAGCGAAACTGTATGGACAACGTTTAGTAGATGGAATTACAACACAAGAAGACGAAGGAAAAGCACAAGCACAAAGCATGTTCTTTGAAATGGACTGTAGTCATGAATTCCGACCCAACCGCCTCCTGGCTTGTGTGCTTGCCTCTTCGGGGATCTTCGTCGCCATGATGACAGTTTTTCTTGTCGACTACAACATCGAGCACGTTCGCTACTGCTTGTGGCTGTGGGCCAAGTGGAGAAAACCGAGGATCGGGGAAGAAGGAATCAACGAACAGTACGAGTACACGCACGATGCTTTCATTGCCTACAGCAACGAAGACGTCAAGTGGGTCATAAACGAAGCGATAGAGAACCTGGAACCTGACTACAATCTGCTCATACACGATCGGGACTTCGCAGTCGGCGCCCCGATTGTGGAAAACATCGCGGATGCCGTGGAACACAGCCGGAGAACCGTATGCCTCATCACCAGGAACTTCCTGAAGAGCAAGTGGTGCGAGCACGAGTTCCAGCTGGCCCAGTACCACATGTTTGAACAGGGGGGAGGGGTGCGTCTCATCCTGGTGTTTTTGGAAGAAATTCCGACCAGGATGCTGAAACGGTACCGCCACCTGAACGCTGTAGTGAAGAGGGACACGTACCTGGCGTGGCCACGGGACGTGAGGAAAAGGCCGCTGTTCTGGAGGCGGCTGCGAGACGCTCTGGGCGAGCCTCTGCCTCGGGACTCAGAGCCTCAGGAGCAGGTGTCAACTCCGGAGCAACGCATTCCAGAACAGCAACGGAATATTCTGGAACAGGAACGGAATATTCCGGAACAGAGAGCCCAATCTCAGAGAAAAAATGTTCCGGGCCAGAAGGAACAAGGTAACATTCTAGAGTCCCACGGTCATGCTCCGGTAAGGAACATTCCGGAACAACAGATACTACATCTGTTCAATGATACCCCGGAACAACAAGACACCATGACTCCGGAACGTGGCATTCTAGAGCAACAGGTACATGTACAAGAACGTACCCATGAGCCAAGAAACACTGTATACCAAAGGATGGATTCGGAAGATGAACTTGTAGAATCAGAGTCAGAAGACGATTGGTGTGGAATTAGAAGTGACATTCTTCTTCTACCACTGTAACATAAAGTCACATGCACGTACAGTCACTGTTTTGCCCGATCCATATTTACGCCAAGAAGCTTATCTTAACGACTGTCACTGGTTTGTTTATTTGTTTGTTTGTATTGTTGTTTGTTTGTTTGTTTGTTAGTTTATAGCATGATATATCTCAAAACGGTATACATAGACTTTGATAATTTAGGTAGGGGTAGGCTTCTTGGTAGGCATTGACTAAGCAAGGCAAAAAGTTTTTGTCTTCTGATTCATGTTCTTTCACGGTTTGATGCAAGCACATTGTTAAGGGAGGTCCTAACTATTAAACGTGCAACATGCACTTACAAACTGGACTTTTGACTGAAATCATGTTATGCGGTGTACATATGTCAGGATCGCTCTTTCACAAGTTTCACACATATACAAACTTAAGGTTGAATTTGGCGATTGGAATGCTAGATAGGGCAGAAACCAATGCCTTCAATGGTCTGTCCTCCCTCACTCATCTTATACTGAGCCATAATATAATTTCTACTCTACCTCATGACGTGTTTAAAGGATTGCCATCTCTAAACCATCTTGATCTTAGCTACAACAACTTGAAGACTTCCCAAGCCAGGCTTCCAGAGACCTTGGACTATCTTGACCTGAGTCATAACAACATAAACACCTACATGCAGATGGAAACATTTTCTATTGCCCTATCATTCAACCTCACAGACTTGAAAAGCCTTAAATAGCTAAACTTGAGTTATAACAGGCTACAAGTTGTTGAAAGTTGGAGTTTGCCTGCTAACCTGACTGTGCTCGACTTACAGCATAACCAAATAGGGTACTTCTTGCCCGAGTCTCTACTCTCCATTACAGGTCTGACATATCTAGATCTTTCTCACAACGACATCAAACTACAGAACTACGTCCCTCAGAACGATATAATCATCAACGTAAGAAACACTCAGATTGGACAACAACGGTTTAGAAGGGATAGATGGGGAGTTTACGAAAGGGCCGAAGAACCTAAAAACGTTGACTCTTTCGCACAACCACATCCGTGACCCGCTGATCACAGCTAGGAGCACGCAGTGTTAGGACGTTATTGTGAGCCATGAGTCAACAAGGCATTCAGTTGCCTTGAGGAAATGGACCTTGAGGAAGTCCCCTCAGGCATAACAAAACAGAACACCCAATCTTCCAATGGCTTTTTCTAAATCTGAACTTCCTCTGTCCACCACAACTTCTTTTTTTTTTAAACTGTGATAGTCCGCCGAGAGGCTGAGGCAGGGGTTTGTCGTTTCTTGTATTGCTTAGGTACCGAGTATGCGACCCTGACGACAAATTGGCCAGGCAGTAACAATTGGATGATATTTAGATTACCCATGGTTAACTACGAAGAAACTTCTACGGCGTTCTTTACGTGTGCGTATGAAAACAAATTTGGTTCCTGGACTTTCCAACTAAACAATAGAACCCCTATCACAGCTTCAGGGCTGCGTGTCTCTGGGAAACGAAGGGGATGCCAGAACGCCGCCTGGGCAGGACACGCTGTCCACATGTCAACACTTTGATGGCACCATGTGCAAGTAGGTCACTGGCCTTGCCTCGACTTGTAAAGACTGTTGCCAAGTCACGTTATTATATGATAACTCACGCAGTCAGTCAGCACTCAGTCAAGAACTTGCCAAGCTTGAAACACATTTCTCTGAGAAAGCACGACGGTTTCCCATGTACGCCTGATTGTGCTGCTGGAGAAAATCGTCGGAGACGTATTGGTAGGAAAACGCCGGGGTTACAGCTGCTCGAATCCACGGGATTTTTTACAAGCTAAATACGAAGGACAGCCCGTCTAATTGAGGTAAGACACACAGTTAGTGATTCTCCTGTGTCTAAACGTAAATGAACTGTTTGGGGATGGTTCACCCATGGCGAAGGCTGCTTAATCACGGTTCAGATATATTGGGAAGGAAAATGAGGGTTAGCATAGCCTCTACCAGGTTTCAGAAGAGGCTAGAAATAGTTAGAAATTGGATGATTAGACAGATACATGCCCATAGTCAGGATTTTGCCTGACGGACCAGGGAAACTCTGTATCCTGTAAACTGCTTGAACACATCATCCATAGCCAAGTCATGAAGCATTTAGAAAGTCACAACATATTGACAGACTACCAAAATGGGGTTAGAGCCAAGCGATCCACAGAACACACAGCTCATCCTAACAGTTTATTTTAACCGTGACTTAAGTTAATGTGAGATATTGTAATTTGTTTTGCATTTTGCTATGTATTGTATTGCATTGTAAACAAGGGCTGCGGGAAGATTGGTGTCATTTTGTACTACAAACGAAGATCCTACACAAATAAACAAACAAACAAACAAACAAACAAACCTGTTTCGCAGTGTGTTCCTGTGTACCCTTGATGACATGTACAGGAGTAGCTGTTCACGCTGTCAGCACAGATGCCGTGTTCACATGGGCTGGACTCACACTCGTCAAGGTCTGTGTGGGAACACCATTACTTATTGTCAATTGTGTAGAAGTACCGGCAAAATGACCCTCTCCAAAAGGGCAAGGGAAACATATTAACTTAAAAAATATTATCTGATCGTCATTTACTTCCACTTTCCAATACATTCGTACTATTATTTCACATTTCTGATTTCATGCTTGGCGATAGAACAGCCTACACGAAGAGCACTCATTTTCTTTTTAGTGGCACCACCACAAAATACTGGAATGTAAACAAACATGGCTGACAGCTGTGTTTCCAGCTTTTCCAACACATTCGTATGATGTAATATTTTGGCACCTCCACTTCCACTTGCAATGGAGTAGGGCTCAATTTAAGTTACTTTGTAAAGAAATAACAAAAAAGAGACTTTCTATCGTCCTAATGTTGCGTAAGGCCACACCGATTTAATTTTATGGATGACATCCTCTGAAGACCCCCAAACTAGTGTGCGCGGGCGAATAAAAAAAAAAATTCCGGCCAAAAATAAAAGTACTACTAAACCACAGGAATACAAAGCTGGTATTGTGAATTTGCGACAGTACTTAGCAACGTATACGACATGCTGGCTTTTTGCGGCATTTATGAATCGGGGTTTATGAATTGTTGAGTCGCGGAGCTTCGATTTCAATAGCCTGGGTGCTCGGCTGCGTTTTGTCGCTGACTACCATGGACTACCCAGGCCTAGAGCCAGGCTAGAGCCTTGGTGGAAGTGATGTTTTTTTTTTTTTTTGAGGCCGACAGGCGAAAATCAATGCGCGCGCGGATGTCATCCATAAAATTAAGTCAGTGTGGCCTAATGCAGCTTTAAGAGTACAAGATCACCCCCACCCCGAATATTGGTGATACGGTGACCATTAGCAAGTATATACCTACAAGTGTGACTAAGGAAAAATCGAAAAGGAAACGAACCTATTTGGCAGTTGTCCCCCTGCCATCCAACCTGGCATGTGCAACTGTAGCTGTTGACGTGATTGGCACAGGTTCCATTTTTGCAGGGGTTGGATGCACATTCATCAACATCTGTGAAAAGAACATGAAACGTATAAAAAGCAACATTTGCAAAGCGAACTGATAATGTTTACCTTCACATGGTCTAGCCTAACAAACTACTGCTCGGTTTATCCTTATTCAAACACATTCATATAATGGTGACCAGCCCATTGCTACGTAATGTAATCCAACACCACATGGTGTCTGCTACAGCACCAGTTGCCATGGTGACAGACGTCTGGTCCAGGTCAGTGACCTTATTGGTTTAGAGACGGGGCAGATCAAGAACAATGTTTTCCTTTTGCAAAGGTAAACATAATCAGTATTGGTAGTAACATCTATACTCAACAAATGAGGCAGATCTCTTTAAGCTTAATTATTCGGACCAGGGTCAAACCTTCACGGAAGTTTTTTTATTCGAAAGTGTACAATAAAATGACATTAAACAAACCTATGTGGCAGTTTTGTCCCGTCCATCCAGCATCACAGGTACAGCTGTAGCCGTTTATAGTGTCGGCACACGAGCCGAAATCGCAGGGGTCTGGCGTACAGTCATCTATATCTGTGCATTGAGAACAATGGTCATCTATTACAGTATTAGTGAAATACTACCATTCCATCCAAATGGATGATGCTCGATATCTATTTCGAGTACAGCTCGTATTAAGATAGTGAAATATTTGAAGGTCAAAAACGTTAATTATTTTAATTGACGAAAAGATGTTTATGAATAGATACTGTAATAATAAAACCACTACTCCAAGTTCAAGGGGAACACATAAAAGCCCCTATGTATGAAAGGAAAGGCATGATCAGGAACCTTCATCGCAGTCTGTTCCTTTCCATCCAGGATCACAGATGCAGGAGTAACTGTTCACACCGTCAGCACAGGTTCCGTGCACACACGGGCTGGGCACACAGTCGTCAATATCTGCTCAAGGTCATGAAAAAAAAAGAGATTGGGTTTATGTGGATCCACAATAAAGATACATATTTGCTGTTCTATACTGAAATAGCTTCGGTTTTTGTAATTTAACATTTGATTTAATTCAAACCTATCAGTCTTTAGAAATATTTAGTTTATCATTAGTACTATGTAAATTCGTGCTTTGCTTGTCCTGCGTAGTATACATATTGGCTTATGTGTTAGTGGCGGAATGAATATAACTATACAATGTATAAGTGTAACTTTAGTGTGCCGTCACCATGTTTTATCAATAAATGTTTCAAATGTGCCAAGATGAAATTTAAAAAAAATGAACTAAAATGCCACTGTCTGATGGAAAGGTGATGTACATGAGGATCCAGACCTTGGTTGCACACAGTCCCAGTCCATCCTGGTTCACACATGCAGGTATAGCTGTTGTCACCGTCAACACAGGTGCCGTAGTCACATGGGTTGGACGCACACTCGTCAACATCTGCGTTACAGTTTCATGCATGAGAAGGCGAAATTATTGCTGAAGAAGCTACATGCATGTACAAGTCATAATATAAAATATTTCTTGTTTATGAAAATAGAACATGGGTGCGTTTTTCAAAGTTGTCGACAAAGGTCGCTCACGATCAATGAATCGATCTGTAAATAGTTGGGGCAATATATCTGATTAATTCAGAGATTTTCAAATAACACAGTACAACATTATAGCCACCAAAAAGACACAACAATGCTATTTATTACTCTATGTAGTAGTGATGGTATATAGTTTCAGTCATTTCACAAACTACTAGTCGCATCACCCCCCCCCTTCCACTGGCAATCGTTCTTTTCCTGTCATGTTTTCCGTTTTTTTCCATAGCAGAATGGACAAGAATTTTCTTGTATAAGTATATCTAAAAGCTTTCCCATTTCCAATAGAAAAACACATTCGGCAATTGAATACATAGGCAGTGACTTGACGGATTATCACTAATCACAAGTCTCCTAACATTACATGTAGCATACAGTAAAGGTATACTTGTTGTTGGATTTAGAGTTGTGAGGTTCATCAAAAGACTTTACTTACCCTGTGGGGACACGACGACAACACATAACACCAGTAGAAGTATCGCCCGAGCCATGGATCCGGTATGGTTTGAAGAGAATTTGAGTTGAGATAGTTTGGCAGAATTTTACATAGATTGTACCTGGTACAGTTTCGCACAGTCAGACACAAAGGTCTTGTGACGTGTACATTAGTCCATGAAGTTATGGTCGATATTATCTGATAAGAACAGTATACAGACTTTTACCCTCGTCGCGATCGGAAGACCATATTCTATCAAGATCAATGTGTAAAGTTTTTAAAATGTGATCAAAACTATCTTATCATAGTAGTGATTATTGATACTCTTTATCAGTCTTGACGACGGTGATAGCAGGTCAAAATTACAATGCCCATATCTTTGGTTCTTGTTGCAATTACAAGTGAACAGAGTATACAATCTGGTTCTCTCAGTTGGTTTTGCCCAGTTGTATAGTTGAGCTACTAGATCATATAATTATGGATTCACCACACCACTGGTTCTACATGTTCCAACAGCAGAAGGTGTTGGAAGATTCCATTGCCGTATGTGGGTATAGACTATTAGAACGCTTCACTTTTGGACAGGGATGATTCAGGAATAGTTCATTTGTGCGGGAGGGGGATAGGTCCATTTTGGTGCGGGGGATGTGATGAAGCCATTTGCTGCATTTGCTCCCGAGCAAATGTCGGCCTTTCTAGTGCTTTACCTTGCGTATCATTACTGTTGTGTTGTGGATATGTAAGTGCTTTGGACGTAAACAGATGTCGAATGCTGTGCTATTAGTAATTGATCAGTACAATTGGATGACCTTACCGCCCCAAAAGGCAGCCAAACATACATTGTGTACATAACTTTGTGACTGATACGATCTAATGTAAACCGTGATCAAATATCACCGACAGCCGTATCACAGGTGGACTGTAAATTTGCTCAAGGTGCAGCGGATCTGTAGCAAGCTGTAGTCAAAGTAAATCAATGGTGTTCATTCACTAAATCTATTAATTCTATGTCACCATTCAGGCCGGAAAAATATTTCAAAAATATGTACGCACACCATGTTATGGTTAATATACTACTTATATACAATGTTCATTTCAATAACTTGAGAGACATAATCACCTAATAAAAAAAAATCTAGCTGTTCAGATTGTATTATCACATTTTAAAAATTTAACGTCTTTTTGCCCATTGGGTGAGGGTGATCAGCAACATAACAAAGACACAAACAAACAAACAAACAAACAAACAACACAGAGTACGGACGACTCAGTCATAGGTTGTCTCTTTTATTGAATCCCAAACTAAAAATTGTTCGAATTGCCCCCGAGTTAATGCTATATACACGTCTTTCACTGTTGACTTTTATGTTTCCCCGAATGTCACACTACCATCTTCAAGGTCACTCGCTGTTGAACTGCTTTGTCTGAAAATTAAGACAAGTTCGTCATATTAATACTGAGAAAGTTCGTCATATGGATGAATTAAAACTAAACGCATTTTGAGGTTCATATAAGTTTGTTTGGCATCAAGGATTATGATATTACATTAAAACATGTCTTATGATTGAAGAATATAAGAGTGAGTCTGTAGTAAACCATGCAATATGACTTCCTTATATATTACGCTGTATATGAATATATGATACTTACACGTTATAAATGGGGTTCATGTGATGATTGGTTTCCCTGGAAAAAAAAGATGTGAAACGTTTTCATTTAATGTTGAGAAAAGGCATTTTTGCTTAGTTTTAGCATTCTATAGATCACATTAGAATGCTCGTAAATATAGAAGAAATGGGTATTACAATAAATTTAAAAGTTATCGCGGAAAATCGTTCTGATTTTCTGAGGAATATTAATCCTCAAATAAATAATATGAAACTTACGGCCTGCTGGATACTAGGTCAAGGTCAGGATCATCATTCTGCCGCTCTAACTCCCAGGAGAATCGACCGCTAGAAAACAACAGGCACTATGTGTACTGGAACTTACATTAGCACAGTATATAAGATAACCTCTGCTCTATTGGCAAATAATGGTAATGTTGACGTTGTTTAATGAGAAAAAGTCAAAATGATACCTGAAACTTCAAAATTCATTTAGTATAAGTTTAGTCACGTAACCGCGACGGGGGCCGACATCGTCTACAAGATACCTATGACCCAGTGTTGACGTCACACTTCAAAGAAGCCACGTGACAAGCCTCACTGGGTCAGCTTACTAAGAGTGCCTGGTCGAAAGCTCTAGGTGAGAGAACTTTTTGTGTTGGATCAAAAGTTTTAACTTAAAACCTCGTTTAGTATTGCCTACCTTTTTTGGATCCTACTGACTATCAAGGCCAAAATAGCCAAGACGACCAGTCCTGTACACCCTGCAATGGCGTATGTTGCCCAAGACGGCCACTGCAGAGATTCGTCTTCATTATAACTACATGTGCTGATGCCGTCCACCTTCGCACATCTGTATGGAACGACATCATATCTAATGAGACTTGTGGTTTGAAAATCCAGAAAGTGCAACTATTAGAGGATGAACATCATTTTGTAGCAGAATGTAGTTTGTACAACAATTACGAAGTGGAATTTTATGGACTGATAACATAAATGTTCCCCCACATCATACACCTAGTAATAAAGACATTACAGACAAATTCACATTTCTAATGAGCATAGACAAACCTAAAACACACACTCTGTTCTTACCTTTTCACCATCTCAGAGAAGCGAAGAGAATTACATAATAGATGACATTACTAGTGCTAGCTTTATCATGTGTATGCATGCATGAAAATGTCTCTTGTAACCAATTCTTATTTTACTTAAAGAGTATGTATGTGCATGTACAATAACGGTCTTCATGTAGATACAAACGGTTCATGAAACAAAATGACCCAGAGTCCTAGAGTTCTAATGACATAAAAAACTATCCCCAATGCTTCAACCCATAGTTATACCTTTCAAGAGTAAGTTGGATACACTCACATTGACTCGAGTTGTATATCTAAAGTTTTGTCTGGGTCAGTGTTGTTTCTCAAAGCGGATCTGAGTGTCTCTTGAAGGTATACCTATGGGTTGGGGTCTTTGGTATACCTTTCAAGAGTAACTTGTATAAACTCACATTGACTCGAGTTGTATATCTAAAGTTTTGTCAGTGTTGTTTCTCAAAGCGGACTTGAGTGTCTCTTGTATTTCTCTGTCGGTGACCGCTGTACTCTGACGTAACTGGATGTAGTAGTCTGCTACCACACTGCCCTTACTGAAGCCGGTGATGACCACGTTAATGATGTCAGCTCCAACATGGCTGTTGTTCAGCGAAGACCATATCTGGAAACACGAAAAAAGGCGTAATTTGTGGGCAGTCTATCTACTTCATATCATAGATTATAGATATTCTAGCAATGCTTTCATTTCGAACAATTAAAATCTACTGTGTATTTCCTGGCATCATCCTATGCTAGGAAACCACATTCTGGATGAGGAAATCTGTCTAATATTGATATTTACTGCCATTTCTTAGCACATTTTCATCATTATTTCATACTTGTTCAATGCCTTTAAAATAGCCCAAAGGACAAGCTATGTGAGGTGTTATTTTTTGGTACGTAAATTACTAGAACCAACGAAACAAGCAACCGTTTTCCGTCAGTAATATCACATTTTTGCATCACATATATCAGTATGCCATCGGATAGGGTTGTTTCAACTTACTACATTAAAAGGGTGATCAGAAATTAATTTCTAACATACTGTAATGGAGAATACGTGAGAAATGTCCTCGATTATGTAGTTGGTAAGCGACGATGTCGTTGCATTCACAACATGTTTTCAAACAAACAAACAAACAAACAAACAAACAAACAAACAAACTTACTGTTTCTGTTAGCTCAGATGCGAGAGAGGCAAAAGTCTGAGAAGTTGGGTCGTTGAGTTCCTCAGTGAATTCCACATTGGTGATTGTCAGTTCGAATAAGAACGTGGGGGGACCTGTGATGTAATATTATGATACATGGCGATGAGCACAAAAACATTGGCTTAGGAAATTACTATGTCTGTTAAGATATAGAATTATGCAACAAAAGCTATTCATTACGCTATCTAAACACTGAGTTCAACTGTAAATCATCTCTCACACATTCAGAACGTTTCCCTGACCAACAACCAATCAGTGTTGGCTGTAGTTCGGGAGCAGTCTGACAAGATTTAGGCCACGCCCACAATAGTCAACATCGCCGAACACCAACCAATCACAGCCGACCTTGCTCCTGACGGAAAATTACTAGTACTCTGAAGGCAAATTGTAACTGCCTGGCAAATGTATGCTGCCTGGCCAATTTAATGTTGTCTTTGCAGCCACAAATAGATATACTTGGAGATTTAATACTTGGGAGGAGTTCGGTAGTGTTTAGGAGGCCAAATCATTTCTGCTATGTGCAACAAAGTGCAGTTAGCCATGGCTGTACCTTGTTCACAGTTGATTCCAGCCCACCCTTCGTCACACATACAGGTGTAGCTGTTTACAGCGTCAGTACAGATCCCGTTCAGGCAGGGGTTGGATGCACAGTCGTCTATAATATCTGCACAATTTCGGCATATAAGAAAAACCACATAATACCTGTATTTTAGAAGTAACTGTTTTGTTGCAATGGAGGAAAAATTATGTATGTGAACGAACAGAACGTCGAATATCTAGCCACAAAAAGAATCATGGTCGGCGATTTTTAGTTGATGACATCTGACATTACTTGTGTGCCACTGAAACGTGGTACATACCCATTCCTATAGTCAAAATCGACAGAGTGCTTTACCTTGGTTACAGGTGGCACCTCCCCACCCGGTTTCACAGCTACAGTTATAACCGGCCACAAGGTCTGTACATGTACCATGCTGACAGGGATTGGAGCTGCACTCGTCGATTTCTACACAGAGAAAATACGTTAGTTGTAAAAATGAAACCTGTACTTTCATTTTGTCTGGACAGTTCCTGACAATTAGTGTTTACGAAATTTTGAAAGCTTGTGTCCAAGCCAAACCATGACGGATACAATGAGCAAAGATATTCGTATGCTGTATAGTAACTTTGATCACCTAGATTGCAGTTGGTCTTGTTCCGGTCCTCAGTACATGAGTAAGTATGGTTGTCGCCATCAGTAGAGTTGTCATGGATAGAGGAGTTGAAGACACAGGCTTCTTTATCGGTGTTACAAAATAGAAACGGGACTTGAGTGTTGTTCTGTCGTTTCAGCTTTCTGTATGCCATGTATACCTTTAAAAATCAATTGTCACAACTCACTGGGTCAGTCTGCTGAATAAGACCAGAAATCGAGTGACTGGTTAGTTAGGTGGTCGACTAGTTAGGTTCCGTTGTGTTGGAACAAAAGTTTTAACTTTAAATATGTAAATACCAAAACAGATACACTTTCATGATACTAGTAATAATGATAGTGATATTGACGTACCGTTACCGTGAATGACGTCTGTCCATCCCAGCTCACAATCACAGCTGTAACCGTTGAGGTAATCCGTACAGTTGCCGTGTACGCAGGGGCTGGATGTGCATTCGTCTATTTCTGAAACATTTAATAGAAGAGCCAAACGTGTCGATGCATGGTCAGGTATCCCTGGATATATCATGTAATTGTTTTGCTTTAAAAAATCTGTAATTTTTTACATGGCTCATTGAGTACTATGACACAATGTGCTTTAAAAGCTGGGACTTCACAGTTTGTTCTAGGTGCAGGAAAGTTGTTGCATATGTGAGATTCAGTACCTTCATCGCAGGTGACATTAGTCCACCCAGCTTCACAGTCACATCTGAAGGCGTTGATGACATCAGTACAGTTGCCATTCATACATGGGTTGGAGGCACATTCATCGATATCTGTGATAGACAAAAGTTAGGTTTGAAACTGAAGGATTGGGGTAATCTCCAAGAAGATCTTTTGGTGGCTACAAAGACTATCAAATTGCCCAGGCAGTACCCACTTGCCAGAGTTACCCAGGGTGGCAAAATGCATATGGTAACTGTTTGGCAAATGGATACAGCCTTGCCAATTTGTCTTTGCAGCCACCATAAGATATGCTTGGAGGATAGGATTAAAGACTGTGGAGGGCTATTGTACAAATCTCCCTTTATTGTCTTATATTTTAATTTGCTTCAGATAAAATGTGTATGTTGGCTTCTGCAATAGAAGCCGATGGAAGTTACTAGTACCTTTATTGCAGTTAACACCGCTCCACCCAGGTTCGCAGACACATCTGTAGCCGTTGACCAGATCAGTGCAGTTTCCTTGCACGCATGGGCTGGACTCACATTCATTCATATCTGCGGGAAAATTGAAACGGCAGTTAATATTGGTACACTACTTTGGTGGAATTAAGATTACTTGTTGATGGAACTAAGAGGAGAGCATGAATGGTCTAAAGGCAGTCAGAAACAGTGCAGATACCTAGTTAGGAAGCGATGTCAAGTACTTGTACAATGTACCTATATTGCAGTTGGCCCCATTCCACCCTGCCTTGCATGCACAGGTGTAGCCATTCACAATGTCAGTACAGTTGCCTTGTACACAGGGGTTGGACGTACACTCGTTGATATCTGCAAACATCATTCGTTAGAAGAACAATTATTTTTGGCCATATTGAAATGATTTAGCTTGAAACTAGTGCTATTAGAATAAAAAAATCCAATGCTCGCAAGTAGTGTCGTAATTTCATTACATTTTAATGACGGAACCGTTCAACGTCATGTTTGATTGAGGAAGCGAACCTATGCTGCAGTTCTTCCCCGTCCATCCACCCTGACATGCGCAGTCGTATCTGTTCACTCCATCCGTACAGGAGCCGTGTATACAGGGGACGGGTAAACATTCATCGATATCTGTGAAAAATCAAGTCAGATGCAATTTTAAACTATTTTTTCATCAATAACTAATTTGTAATAGGATGGTGAAAGCTACATTAGGTGTTGTTAAAATACCGTCTTGAGTGATTACCCTTCCACAATTGCTAGAAAAAAAACGGTATACAGCACCTCTGAAACTGTTTGACAATGTAACTATATTATTTGTTAATGTTTGACATACCAAAATTGCAGTACGTTCCCGTGTAGCCAGCTTGACAGGCGCACGAGAAGCTGTTCTCATTATCCACACAGCTACCGTGGTAACAGGGGCTCGACTGACACTCATCAACATCTGTACAGGGAAGAAAATAGTAAGAACGTACTGTTTAATTTGAACAATAGTACTATGATAAACAACCATCCTACCTTCCCCAATGTGCAAAAAAAGTATTGTACAAAATGCAAGTGAAGTTCGACATTTGCTACTTGGCTTTTCCTGATATGATTATGATCATAGAGCACAAGTCAACAGCGCCAATGGTTATAATTTTACACAGATCATTGTTACTAAAATGACCACGAAAGTGTCAGATTTACAAAAGACAGACCTATATGGCAGTTTTGTCCCGTCCATCCAGGTTGACATGTACAGGAGTACTCTTTCAAACTATCAGCACAGCTTCCGTGTGGGTCGCAGGGGTTAGACGCACAGTCGTCAATATCTGTGTAAAGATCATGAACATAGTTAAACGTTTGCAACAGAACCATTGTCCATCAAATATTGCGTTAAAATTCATCAGTGAGCTCTTTTTTTATGTGGCTCACTGGGAACTATGTAGCACTATACTTTAGACAACGGAAGTGAAGAGTCATCGAGATCAGTGAGAAGGAGCATTCATTGATGTTGCATTAGAAATCACAACAAAGTTGATATTCACAATTCAAACGCACCTATGTGACAGTCTTGTCCTGTCCACCCAGGCTGACAGGTGCAGGTGTAGCTGTTTACTCCATCTGCGCAGGTGCCGTAGTCACATGGGTCTGGTGTGCAGTCATCAATATCTGTGTTGTCAACAAAAGTAAAAAAATGTTAGACACGAATCGACTGAAGTTTAAGGAGAAGCAGACTCATTGAAATGTGAAAAGGAAAAAAAGGAATAAGTCCTATTGATAATACAGCAAACCTATATTGCAGTTGGGTCCTTTCCATCCAACATCACATGTGCAGGTGTAGTTGTTTATACTGTCAGCACAGGCACCGTGGTCACAGGGGTCTGGTGTGCAGTCATCTATGTCTGTGCACAATACATGTAATTGAATTTAGGAAGAAGCGGAGCCCTACATAAACACTTTGACTTGTTATTATCATAAGCAGTGTTTAAAAAAAAATTACGGATATTAATATTTGCTGCAAACTGACGGGTAGTCATATGTGTAACACAAACCTGTCTCACAATGTGTCCCCGTCCATCCAAATTGACAGACACAAGAGTAACTGTTCACACTATCGGCACAGGCACCGTGGTGGAGACAGGGGATAGATGCACACTCGTCGGTATCTGTGTTGCCATGAACAAAATAAAACTTTACCAAATTCTTGTATTCTACAAAGAATGGTATTCATTGTCTTCTTAATAACAAACTACTAAAAGTATACGCTGGAGAATTTTCAATGAGAAAAGCTAGATGCTCTTCTGACACAAGGTCATAACTATTAGATTAATCTCTATCGGCCTAGACAACTACAAGTTTAATTATAAAATTTATTTTTGTTAACACACCTATATGACAGTTCTTCCCTTCCCATCCAGGTTCACAGGTGCAGTTGTAGCTGTTGGTGCCGACATCGGTACAGGTGCCGTGGTCGCATGGATCGGGCGCACAATCGTCAATATCTGTGTCAGAGTAAAGCAAATTACTTGTTTTCGGGGCAGACAGAGACGTCTTTTATTTGACAGGGCATAAAGACATGCCATGTTGAGAAAACAAACCTGTATCACAGTCTGTTCCCGTCCATCCAAATTCACAGGTACAGGTGTAGCTGTTTACACCATCGGTACATGTTCCGTGAGAACAGGGATTGGGCGTACAGTCATCGATATCTGAGTGTCGAAAACAAGAAAGCTTGAGGAGGGTAGCGCTTTATAACGAGAATTTGAGTGGTACTTTTCTTTCAAAGTATAACATTGGAGGTCTGATTCCTCTATGAAATGCATTAATATTAGCACATGATCTATACCATGGGCCATTCTTCATATGAAGTGACGTTTATAAAACAAGCTTGACACTAGGGGTTTAGTGGAATGGACTGGAAGCATACCTATATGACAGTCTTGTCCAGTCCATCCCGGTTCACAACTACAGGTGTAACTGTTGGTGCCGGAATCGGTACAGGTACCGCCGTGGTCACAGGGGTGAGTTGCACAGTCATCTACATCTGTGTATCATTATAGAATATATAACGACATATTACTGAATCTGACAAATGACTGAAAACTGAAACGTAACAAATGCAATTTAACCTCTATATGAACAAAGAACATGAACACATCGGCATTCCATGTTGAGAAGACAAACCTGTATCACAGTTTGTTCCCGTCCATCCAAACTGACAGACACAAGAGTAGCTGTTCAAGCTATCGGTACAGGTACCCTGACGACAGGGGTTGGACGCACAGTCATCGATATCTGGGTGCAACATCAATATGTGTAAAATATGATATATCTCTTTTGGACAATTTGGACAATTGAATCATTTTGGGGCTTGAGAAAAACTTTCTTCGCGACGAAGTGTGACAAATATTACAAGGAGAACACTTCTCAATGAGAATTTATGTTTAAAGTTTCATTGAAAGTAATGTTTAATGTCTGCTTGTCTCTATGAAATGAAGAAATTGGTACATGGTGATTGTATGCTGAATATTGTTACGTCATAAACAAACATGTTATGAAGCACACCTATATGACAGTCTTGTCCTGTCCATCCAGGTTCACAGGTGCAGGTGTAGCTGTTTGTGCCGGAATCGGTACAGGTGCCGTGGTCACAAGGGTCGGGCGCGCAGTCATTGGCATCTGTGTATCATTATAGAATATATAAAGACATATTACTGAATCTAGCTGAAAAAATACTGAGAACTAAAACGTAACAAATGCAATATAATATCTATATGAACAAAGAACATAAACCCTCTACGTTGACCTTCTATGTTGAGAAGACAAACCTGTGTTACAGTTTGTTCCCGTCCATCCAAATTGACACGTGCAGGAGTAGCTGTTTACACCATCCGTACAGGTTCCGTGACGACAGGGGTTAGGCGTACAGTCATCGATATCTGAATGTAAACAAGAAGAGAATAATATATACATATATATGTATCTATTTTGGCCAATTCAAATACTGTGTAGTTTTTGGTATCAAAGGACAAGGCACTTTTCAATGAGAAGTTAGGTTTGTTTGCGCCTTTATTTATTGATGAAAATACACAATTCGGCCAACAGGCCGCTTTTCATTGTGGTCATCATGCAGGGGAGAGGTTCAAGGGTCAACAAATTACTACAAAACACATAATGCATACATCAGACTTGGATACATGATTCTGAGTCTTAATAAATCTAAACAAATATTCATCATAACGTGGTACAGCTTATATACATACATAATTAAGTAAATACATAGACGTCAAAGCAGGTAAGTAGTTCTTGTCCGTCCGTTTTTCATTCCTGGTTTCTACCTCTTTAAGAGTCTCTTAAAGGAAGCGAGGGTTGGGGCCGTGCGTATGTCCACTGGAAGACTGTTCCAGGCAGTGGGTCCGCGGTAGGCTAGGGATCTTCTAAAGCTCTCTAGATGAGGTTTAGGAACAACTAGTTTATTGCTTGTGCTTTGTCTAGTTGACCTTGTGCTTTGCTCGCTACAGTAAGCAAACATCTGGCGCATGTAGTGTGGAAGTTTGTTGTTAATGGCTTTGTAGACGAGCATGATCTCGTAGTGTTTATGCGTTGCTTTAATGTCTTTCCAGCCCAGCCGGGTAAGCACTTCGATTGATGGTGTCCTGTAAGGCGCCTTCAGTATCAGTTTTCCTGCCCGATTCTGCATTCGTTGTATCTTCTGCAGATCTTGATCTGGAGCAGTGTCCCATGCTGTGCAGGCATATGTTATGTGTGGCAGGAAAATGGCGTTATACAAAGTGCAAAGAGCTGACGTTGAGATGAAGGGGCTGACGTGTTTCATCATAAAAGAGAACGCCTCAATTTCCCTAGTACAGCCTTCACCTGGTCCTTCCAGTTTAGTTGACGGTCGATAACCACACCTAAGTAGGTGTATTTATCACATGTTTTAATGTTGACACCATTGACAGTAAGTCTGGGAGGGTTACAGTTTGTCAGTCTCTTGTTCGTTCCTATGTACATACATTTACATTTGCCACCGTTCATTGATAGCGAGTTTGCGGCAAACCACTTTGACAGCCTTTGTAGGTCGTTCTGAAGTACCTGCTCAATGTTTGTGGAGTTTTTATGACTAAAGTAAATTACAGTATCATCTGCGTACATTGAAATATCGCAGGACTGTAGACATTCAGGCATATCATTGACATATAGGAGGAAAAGAAGGGGCCCCAATATCGATCCTTGGGGCACCCCATATTTTACTTGGTGAAACGCAGAACTTACTCCGTTGATGGAGGTGCAGTGCTTCCTTCCGGTGAGGTAAGACTGGAACCAATTGAGTGCGCTACCTTGTATACCGTATCTAGACATCTTCTGGAGAAGGATGGAATGATCCAGAGTGTCAAATGCTTTGGACAAATCAATAAAGACTGCCCCCGTCAGTTCGCCGTCGTTCATGGCCTTGAACCATCTCTCAGTTAATAAGTGTACAGCTGTTTGTGTTGAATGTCCAGGTCTGAAGCCAGATTGGACTTCTGAGAGAATACTGTTGGTTGTCAGGTAATCGTAGAGTTGTATGTGCACGGCTCTTTCCAGAATTTTGGAGACGGCAGGAAGGATGCTGATGGGTCTATAGTTGTTGGTGGCATCTCGATCACCAGCCTTGTATATGGGCGACAGCCTTGCCCTTTTCCAATCCTCCGGGAATTCACTTGTCTGTATGGAGGCATTTATGATGGTTGTCAGAGAAGGTGCTATTTCTTGAGCGGCTGACTTCAAAAGTCTGTTGTTGAGCTGGTCAAGTCCAGTGGCTTTGTCAGGCTTCAGAGCTAAGAGTTGTTGGGTGACGAACTCCTCTGTCACAGGTGTGAGGGTGAAGCGGGACTGGTAGTCCCTGACAAACTGTAGAGGACTGAAATGAGATAGCCCTTTGTTGATGTTTTGGGCTAGCGTTTCAGCAACCGTTCCAAAGTACTTGTTAAGTACATGTGCAATGTCCAGTGGTGATGTTTTTGTGTTTCCCTCCTCGTCCTTCATGCTTGTGATGTCACCCGAGTTTTGCTTTCCCAACAGAGACTTTATGGAGTTCCACATACCGGGCACAGAACCACTGTTGATTTTGTCGGTGTAGTAGTTGCGTTTGCTGGACAGGATTAAGCTCTTGGTGTGATTGCGTAGTTTTTGTACGTTTCCCAATCTGTTAATTTTTGTGTTTTTCGGCTGTATACCTTGCTTTGTCTCTGAGGGACATGAGCTCGCGCACATCTTCAGATAGCCAGGGTGGGCAATCAGTTCCTTTTACCCTGAATTTCTTCACTGGAGCATGTCTGTCGCAAACTGACTCGAACAGTGACTTCCACGCACTCCACATGTCCTGAACCGAGTCGAAGACGGAAACTGAGCTCCAAGGAACCCTTGCTACGTCTGCTTTGAACTGTTCCTCGTCGAACCTTTTAAAGATTCTTGCGGAGATCCATTTGGGTGGAGGTTTGGGTTGTTTTGTTCCCCGATACGTGTAGATCAAGTGGTGGTCACTCAATCCACATTTGAACACACCACTGTTTGAGAACTTGCTGGGGTTGGATGTAAGGATAATATCTAGTAGCGTAGAGCTGTTTTCAGTCACTCGCGTGGGTTCCGTTATGAGATTGGTAAGGTCGTACAAGTCGCAAAGAAGTGTCAGATCTTCAGAGGGACCCTTGTCCTGGAGCATGTTGCAGTTTAAGTCTCCCATGATTATTATTTCCAAGTTTGTGTCAGATGCCTTTTCCAGGCTTTCTCTAAAGTTGGCGAAGAATGTGTTATCATTCGGTGGCCGGTATGCGCAACAGACGAGCAGGTGTTTCGACTTGGGTGGCGTCAGCTCGATCCATAGAGCTTCCAATCCACTAACAGAGAGATCGTCTCGTTCTTTGAAGGCTAAAGAGTCCTTCATGTACATTGCTATTCCCCCACCGTGTCTGGAACCTCTGTCCTTTCTAAGGAGTATGTAGCCAGGGAGCTGAATGACGTTGTCAGGGAAATGTTCACTGAGGTGAGTTTCAGTCAGGCCAATTATGTCCATCTGACTTTCTGCAGAAAGGATCTGGAGATCAAGTGTGCTTTGCCGGAAGACTACGAATATTCTGGTGAGTCAACATAAGTCCTTTCTTGTGCTCTTTCTTTGGTGGACTGTTAGAACACGGTGGGCCTGGGTTTATTGCGATATCACCTGACATAAATAGTATTGCACACATACAAAATTGTGTCTTACTACATTTCCTTGTTGGGATCAGCATGCCTTTAGCAATTTTTCTACGACCATTATACAGTTGAAACAATCCGTATTCGTAGCTTGATATGGTCTTATGTTCTAGTACATTCTCATCGTTCATCCCAGGTGAGTCATTTGCTGTTACAGATTTAGACAATTGTAAAATCAACACAGCTAATATTGCTAACTTAACACAGGTGAAGTCTGCTTGTATATTACGCTTTGGTGACTTCATTTTCGTCATTTTACCGTAGTAATCTTTAAACAAGGGAAGGCAATGAAATTCGAATCACATCCAGCCACAGTTTGTACTGGTGTGTTCAGATGCTAATTTAAGATTGCGCTGTTTATATCCTAAATGCGCCAGGTGCTGTTTACAATTTCAACTACAGTAAAACCCTTGCAAAATACTGATGTCAAAAAACTAAGGCTATATCAGTAAATGCTCTTATGTATTAGACTTATTACATGATAACACAATCAAGGCTTCATGAAACTGTCAATAAGAACAGAATCAGAGTAAAACGATACAGTACCTCCGTACCGAGAGACTTGCCCTCCCCCACGTCAGTGTCAGTTCAGAACAAAGCTCAAAATCGGAAGGAAAGGCAGTGAACTAATTGTAAAGACAATCTGATGACAGGTATACCTTGGGTATTCACTTAGCTGTCCTATTGGGGCAGAATCGGGATGCAGAAGACTTTTAGCAGGAGATTTTAGGACTAGCTGACGCGAGACATGGGAAAAGCGACGCTCTCGGTACGATGACCCTTGACCTCTCCTGCATGCAAGTGAAAGTAATATTAATATTGAAGGTCTGCTCAATGAAATTAAGAAATAGTACATGGTATGGTCATTAGCAAACGTTATTGCATGTAGCCTACCCATATGGCAGTTTTCTCCTGTCCATCCAGGTTCACAGCTGCAGGTGTAACTGTTGGTGCCGGAATCGGTACAAGTGCCGTGGTCACAAGGGTCGGGCGCGCAGTCATCTACATCTGTGTATCATCACAAAATATACAGCAACAAACACATTACTGAATCCGTCTCTAGTGACATTTCATGGACAAAATACAGAAAAGTGAAACGTAACAAATACGATTTAACCTCTATATGAACAAAGAACATAAATACATCGACATTCTATGACAAACCTCTATTACAGTTTGTTCCCGTCCATCCAAATTCACATGAGCAAGTGTGGCTGTTCACACCATCCGTACAGGTGCCGTGACTACAGGGGTCGGGTGTGCAGTCGTCGATATCTGAGTATCATCACAATAGACTTTGATTACTTGATTTCCACTGATTCGGTTGATAGCTAATATATAATTCAGGCTAAAGGCATGATTTTACTGAGAAATACCAAATGCATCCGTACACTGATCCACGACAGAACAGATAATAAAACAACTACATGTAAACTATATCGGTCGTCTGATGACTTTGACTGTATAGTATATTTCCGTGTAGCTCAAGTCATCCCAAATTGATGTGGTGTTTATGAGACAGACCTGTGCTGCAGTCTGTTCCAGTCCACCCATCTTCACAGGAACAAGTGAAGCTGTTCTGTCGATCAGTACAGGTGCCGTGGTTGCAGGGGTTGGACGCACACTCATCAATGTCTATCATTAAACAAATAACCACTTGTTAGTCAATCTAAAGAAATGTCTTGTACATGCAATGTATTGTCATTGCGAAAAGAACGGCATTTTCATATACTGGCAACCATCGTTAACTATATCGTTAACGATGGTTATTGATGTAAGGGGCATGTGAAAAAGATTAATGTCGCCGTGTATCATGTCCATGTCTCTATACAACCAAGAAAATGATAATTGATACAATTGATACTCGGTAGGGAAAATAGTGGGCGAAGAGCATGAAGGTTACATAGATGTCATAATTAAAGTACACCTGAATCGCAGTGTCTCCCTGTCAATCCAGGCCGACATGTACAGGTATAGCTGTTAACACCGTCCACACAGGTACCACCGTGATTGCAGGAGATGGACCCACAGTCATCGATGTCTGTGTATAGATGTAAAAATAATGGGTAATCATTGTACTTCATCGAGGTTAGGGAACTTTAAAAAAACTTTGATTTGAAACGCAATAGAATGAAGAATGGTAACCATGTGGGTTTATAGTAGAATTCTAAACGTACGCCAATGCAAAAATTCAAGTTTGAGATTCCATAAGTGCATTTTTCAAAACAATAAAGTACAATAACTGAAACCTAAGTAAATCATACCTACTATACGACTTCATGTAATTTCACGAAATGTTCGTGACACAGTGAATAAGATACAAATTAAACGATGGCAATTTGACAAACTTGTTTCGCAGTGGAGCCCTGTCCATCCGGCATTACATCTGCAAGTGCCGTCATCTGGATTGCATGTGCCGTGAGTACCACAAGAGATGCAAGAAGAAATACAGTAATAAGTCGTTAGGAGAAATAGATATCAAGATATTTTGAAAATAGGAGCCGATACACTTTGTACATTAGGCGTAATCCGTCTAAATAGTGTGACTTGAGTGTGCATCAGCAGCAAAATCAAATCACTTGTTCTCGTCTGTTGTGACGATATTTATCATTTTATTTTGCCACATTTTCTTTACACATCAAAGTGAACACGTCTTCTTTGTATACCAGTTGATGAGCAGACACGACCTCCGGATGTGTTTATGTGCTGTTGAAATGTAAAGGTCACTCTAAGGTGTATGTTCAGTGATAACACAATCAATGTATGAGCCTTCTTGGAAGGCTGTGTTTGACTCAGTCGGACCAAGATGCACTGCGATGGTAGCAAGAGGTACATGTACACACGCATTCAACATGTCATCACATTTAAATTTATAAAAAAATTAATAATTTTACGTTGCAGAGCATAGTTTATGGTTTCTTTTGTCTCGCTGATCTGCTGTCATGTTTCGCCTTAGCCTATCCCCAATTCCCTTCTAAATGGATCAATAAAATCAACCCTTATAATATACATGTACATCGGGAAAGTTCTTGCATCAACTGGGCAACAGAAAAAACCTATGGTTGCAAACAGACTGGTTGATCACAGAGAAGAGTAAATATTTTTCTGTATACGCGTCTGTCGTATTGGACACGTAATCTTATAAAACGTCTCCACTTACCATCTTGAGACACGGCGACAACGCACAAAAGTAGCAGGATCCCAAGTCGTATCATGCTGTTGGAAGCTTCAAGGAGAAGACAGAACCAGGACCTATGTAAGTGTGTGACAGGGCGGTTTTGAGGTTGACACCTAACGCACGTGGCCTTTAGGGCAGTTTGAATAGTTGGGAAAGGTTATGTCAATGCGTAGACTTTTACCCTGTTTTCCGAAGTCTGTACGTAACGTATAATGTGGTTCGTGTTTTATATGGACAGGAACGACAACTGTGTTGAAAATAACTTCAAATGAAATGTTTGAAATCTACTGCTGTGATGCAGTACATATATTATGGTACATATTATTATTACAGTAATTTGATAACAGAAACAATAGAATTTCATTTCTTGGACTAAACCAGGTCTAAAAGACAAAATATAATACTTGAAGTTTCGGCAACTGAAAACCACGAAGAAGCACCTCTTACAAGTGTATCGTGTTCAAGTGAGCAGCGGTAGCGCAAAATGCAACGATCTTTTTTGGGGGGCAAAATTTGATATTAGTTTTTATTGGGTCGTGTCTCGGCCTTTCCGTTTGAACCAGCCAAACTAACCGCTCGATCGTATCAATTCAAAAACAAGAAAACAGACCACAGAGGTCATACATTCGGTACGGTGTACGTCATAGCTGGGCCGTGAGAAAGTGACCAGAAAGTCGGCATATCAACGACAAAGTAAGGTGGGTTATCGCACACACGTACATCGTGTAACCCTTGGGGCAGTCAAACAGTATATGTGTGATATATATTGCTGATAAAGTGGCTTAAGTAAACTGTGATCAAATACCACTTGGTCGATCGGGCCAACTCTGAAGTTTGGACCCCCCAGTTGTGGTTGTTGTCAACGTAAACAAGTGTCCATGAGGACGTGCTCGATACCTTGGAAAATCGACACTTAAGTTTTTAAGATTTTTAAAGGAGAAGTACTTTGATCCCCTGTTCCTCTAACTTTTAAGAGCAGTATATATACCAATTTTCTGGTCACTTTCTCACGACCCAGATATGACGTACATTGCACCGAACGTATGAGCTCTGTGGTCTATTGTCTTGTTTTTGGCGACGCCGTAGGGGGAGCTGAATGGTACAGTATTGTGTGCAGTTTGCAAGAATTCTAGGAATTGTACAGGAATTTTATCCACAGGCATGGAATGTCCACAGGAATGTCTCCCAGATTTGGAATGTGGCTGACACACATCTATGTCCACAGTCCTACTTAGTGAAATTCCTGAAAACCATTGGAGAAACCTTTCTGAAGGGATGCCTTCTTTTCCCGGGGCTCGTTCATTATACACTCGGGGGAGGGTAGAAGTGATCTACTGAACTGCACTGTATCTGTCTAATAACAAGCTTCCCCAAAATCATGACAGTGCCATGCAAACAATAACCCTAACAAAACCCACCGTCGCCATATATGTTTTTATTGTCAGCCTTGTTAAATATTCGCGCTTTGTTATGTAGCTCGGGTTCAAATACGGTAAAGAGACCAACCTCGTACCATTTAGCCCTGTTCATTGTGCAATATATGGGCCAACAGGTCATGTCTATCTCTCCTGGTCTCAAAATCGGAGATACCAACAACATAAACATAAAACTGATGTCTTTTTAATTACGTGGTTTCAAAACAACAAAAAAAAAAAAAACACACACATGACACTGTACAGTTCAAATGGTGTAAAGGCGTTGTGACATATTGCAATTTCTGGAATGATCAAATACGAAAACTTATTTCTGTCCACATTGTAATACCAGAAAAATTGAAAATCGTTAAACAGACTGTCACAAGCTTTAGGAAGGTAAAAGTCTACATTACATTGACATGACCTCACCCAGCTTTTCACCGTTGCCTGAATGACCACGTGCTTTTGGTGTCAAGCTCCAAACTTTATTATGGCTCATACTTCGCTAGTCTTGATTTTGTTTTCTCCGCCAAACCTTCCAACACGATGAAAAGAACTGTGTTTGTGCTACTTTTATGTGCTACCGTCGTGTCTCAAAATGGTAAGTGAATACATGTACATATAATTTCCGTACAGGTCCAACAGCAAGGCGAATGTGCAAGTCTGTATTCTCCACTAATATTGTACCGTGTTGCCTGTTCAGCATTTGAAACCTGTTTAACTGTGTTTTTCATCCAGTGCGTTTTATATTTACCTTTATATGTAAGATGACGTTTTTTTAAGTGTTCTGTTTAGTTCGATGTACAAGAAAGTTGAGCATAAAGGTAAAAGAGAGAAGCAAAGAATCTTGATCCAAAAGGATATTTACAGATTTAAGCAAAAAAAACCCTCTCAGTTAGAAATTGATGACCGAAGATAATTTGGTGAAGTGGGTGTTCCCTCATAGCCCATTCAATTGCAGATGCTGCCTTCCAAGAAGGCTATATATCGACTGTGTTATCAGTGAACATACAGTTCAGTGACCTTTGCTTTCTAAAGACAACACAAAAATATAAAACAAAACATGCTTGTTCATCCTCCATGAAACTGAGGTGGACGAGGAGGGTCACCTGACTGAATACGCTGTATAGATTTTAATCGCTGTTTTAAAAGTTTTAAATGTAATGTGGGGTCGTGTGGCGCAGCGGCAGCGTTCTCGACTCGGAACCAGAGGCCCCGGGTTCGAGTCCTGACATGCCACCGATCTTGTGTCCTCGGGAAAGGCACTTTACACTTTCCTCACTTCGCTCAGGTGTAAATGAGCTAGTATTGTACTGTCCCTGTGTTGGTGTCGGCAGTTGAAAAAAACTTAAGTGTGTCGTCACCACGTCTTGTGATTACATGTTTCGGAATAAAAAAAATGTAATATACTCTATCTGATAAAATTGATAAAAGTATGTATTTTGTCGAAATGTCTTGTCAAAACATTCCTCGCAATTCAGCCATCGCAGCTGCCAGGAATGATCGAAGCTTGTTAGTGTTCCTGTTCTTCTTTGCTGAATAAACCAGTCTAAAATATGTGCGTAAACTATAAGCTGATAGTCACAGTAACTATAGCTCTGGCTTCATATTTATTTAAGAAACGTCGCGTTTTTCTTTGTTTTAGAACCTCCATCCTGGTCAGCATCCTCGGAGTTTGATTCAATTCACTCAGCTGATCGCGCAGATATCAACACTCGCGAGACTGCAGATGCAGCAGGCGGATGGGCAGCAGCAACCAATGACCAGGACCAATGGCTGATGAGGGACCTTGGTGATGTAAGCGTCATCACCGGCGTCATCACCAAAGGCAGGAACTACAGCCCTGATTGGCCACCTGGCATACATGACCAATACGTCACATCCTACACCATTTCATACGGGAATGAAACCGGTGATGAGACTTACTACACCAATGCTGATGGGCAAGTTACTGTAAGAATCATTCCTCCTGTTAGTTGGATAGCTATCTACTAAGATCTTTGCATGCTAAAATCGTATTCCTACGTTGAATGTAGAAACAGGCAGATACTATAAATATATATAAATGTAGCCCATGACTTTGCTCATTTTGTCCAAAGCAATTAAATGGAATATTAATTTCACTTTGTTATGGAATGCTCTAGATGTGATGTTTTGCGTCATCTATTCACATTTCTTTATTCTCTTAGGTGAATCTCAGATTTCAAGAGAACCGGTGCTACAGATAGATTTCAATATATCTTTATATCATGATTAGAGTCAATTATGTTGATTGTAACACTATATCACAGACCTATGCTAGCCCTTGCTGTTTTAGTAATAAGAAAGATATAAGTTATATCATGTAACTTTTTCCATGTTCGTTGGTTTGCTTCCTTTGCAAGTATACTTTGTCGTGTGATAAATTTGAACTTCTCAAAGTGTGGATGTTGCTGTTTCTGAATAGGGCTTGATCTTCTTGGCATATAGGCAATGTCTTTATATGCTGCAGGTTTTTCCGGCGAATGACGACAGGGACGGAGCGGTCTACAACGACTTCGGAGACTTCAGTGGCCACATAACTGCGCGCTTCGTCAAGATCCATCCGCAAACATGGCATCAGCACATCTCCATGCGGGCAAGGATTGTGATAGGTTGGAAACGTAATACTTTCATAGGGGAGGTAACATTTTGGGAAAAAATGCAGTTTTTGGTGAAGTACGCCCCTAGGGATATGGAGACCTGAATGTCAACATTTGGTCAAATTTCAAATGTTCCGCCCCCCTGTTCATCCGCCTAACATTTGTGTCACTTCAATGCATTCAACTACGTCTAAAGCCATGCTAGAAAAATAGTCAATGCTCTAAAGTTAGTATTTTGGCATTCCATGGCAGAAAATTTAAGGTGACATCACAATAAATATCCCAACCCCAAAATCTATTCCCAAATGTAAATATGGACTATTGCAAAATCACCCCATTTCAAAAATAAACTATTACAAAATCACAATATGTGCAAATGGAATACTCCAATTTGGCAGAAGACTGGACATCGGGCCACTGTATTTTGCACGTATTTTGACTTGTCGACCTGAAAGCATAGAAGAAACGTAGCTTTACGTATTAATCTCTGACGAATGTGCGTCCAACCTCTGTCAACACGGCACCTTAACTGATGGTGTGAACGGTTACTCCCGCACGTGTACATTCGGATACACAGGAACACACTGCCAAACAAGTTTGATCCGTTGATACGACTTATTCATTTTCATTTAAAATTCCACTTCCATTTGCACATTTCTGAGTTTATGGTAATTTTCAAAAATCTATTTAATGGCCTTCATTGTGCACTGGTCATGGCTTACTCGATTACGACCCACAGACATCAACGACTGTGATCCCAACCCCTGCGACTACGGCTCCTGTACTGATGGCGTGAACAGTTACACTTGTGCCTGTCAAGCTGGATGGACAGGAAGAAAATGCAACAGAGGTCTGTTTTATCAACATGACGTTTATACAATAGTGACATTTCCTGTTAACTTACTCCGTCCCAATTCAACAAGTGAAGTTGCACACACTGATTCAATAAAAGTGCATTCTTGTTTTACAACATTCAGATATTGAGGAATGTCACATAGGTCGACTGGTCGTAATTTTTAATATCAGCATTTTTTTTACAAATCCAGCTTCAAGCTTGCTCTTAAGTAACGTTTAGTAATAATCATTACATTGCTGTAATGCAGCTGAACATCTCTTTCTACGTCTGGTAGAAATTAACTATGTGAAATTTAAAATTGGACCAGGCGTTTCCAAGTACAATGTACTGGGAAACAGGTTTATTATGAACATGACCATTACTAGTATACTTTACGATAAATGTCCAGAATTCATGTAATGACTGCTGTTTTCCAAATAATATATGACAGATATTGACGACTGTACACCTGACCCCTGTCAACACGGCACCTGTGCTAATAGTGTGAACAGCTACTCCTGCACGTGTCAATTTGGATGGACGGGAAGAAACTGCCAAACAAGTTTGTTTCGTTAATATTACTTTCTCATATCTTGTTAGCATAATTATTTCAATAAAATTTGCACAAGGTATTTTGTAATTCCGAACTTACGACACACATACAGACATCAACGAGTGTGCGCCCGACCCCTGTGACCACGGCTCCTGTACTGATGGCGTGAACAACTACACCTGCGCCTGTGAAGCTGGGTGGACTGGAGCAAACTGCAACATAGGTCTGTTTCATTAAACACATAACCTCTACCACCAAGCATGTAGTAGTTTTTTCCAGGCTAACTTTATAATTTTATATGCCTCGAACTATACTAGTACTGCCATTGAGTTACAGTATTACCGTTGATGACTTAGTACAGTCGTTCACGAGAGTGAGTCACTGACCTAGTCGGTCAACTCACACAGTCACATTTTCATAATAGTCATATTTTTGTCAATTGGATACCCAGATATTGACGAATGTGCGTCCAACCCCTGTCAACACGGCACCTGTGCTGACAGTGTGAACAGCTACTCCTGCACGTGTCACTTTGGATACACAGGAACACACTGTGAAACAGGTTTGTCTCGCCAATATTACTTTTTTTCATTTCTAGTTAGTATAATCATTTCGATGAAGTGCGCACAAGTCATTTTTTAATTCCGAGTTTACGACACACATACAGACATCAACGACTGTACGCCCAACCCCTGTGACCACGGCTCTTGTACTGATGGCGTGAACAGTTACACTTGTTCCTGTCAACCTGGATGGACAGGAACGAACTGCAACATAGGTCAGTTTCATTAAACCACCAAGCATGTAGTAGTTTTTTTCCCAGGCTAACGTTATAATTCTATGTGCCTTGTACTATACTAGTACTGCCATTGAGTTACAATATTACCGTTGATGACTTACAGTCGTTCACGAGAGTGACCCAGTTGGTCAAGTCATGGTCACATTTTCCTAATAGTCATATTTTTGTCAATTGGATACCCAGATATTGACGAATGTGCCTCCAACCCCTGTCAACACGGCACCTGTGCTGACAGTGTGAACAGCTACACCTGCACGTGTCAGTTTGGATACACAGGAACACACTGCCAAACAGGTTTGTTTCGTTAATATTATTTTCTCATTTCTTGTTAGCATAATCATTTCAATAAAATTTGCACAAGGCATTTTGTAATTCCGAACTTACGACACACATACAGACATCAACGAGTGTGTACCCAACCCCTGTGACCACGGCTCCTGTACTGATGGGGTGAACAGCTACACTTGTACCTGTGAAGCCGGATGGACTGGAACAAACTGCAACATAGGTCTGTTTCATTAAACACATAACCTCTACCACCAAGCATGTAGTAGTTTTTTCCAGGCTAACTTTATAATTTTATATGCCTCGAACTATACTAGTACTGCCATTGAGTTACAATATTACCGTTGATGACTTAGTACAGTCGTTCACGAGAGTGAGTCACTGACCTAGTCGGTCAGCTCACACAGTCACATTTTCATAATAGTTATATTTTTGTCAATTGGATACCCAGATATTGACGAATGTGCCTCCAACCCCTGTCAACACGGCACCTGTGCTGACAGTGTGAACAGCTACTCCTGTACGTGTCAGTTTGGATACACAGGAACACACTGTGAAACAGGTTTGTCTCGCCAATATTACTTTCTCATTTCTTGTTAGCATAATCATTTCAATAAAATTTGCACAAGGTATTTTGTAATTCCGAACTTACGACACATATACAGACATCAACGACTGTGTACCCAACCCCTGTGACCACGGCTCCTGTACTGATGGTGTGAACAGTTACAATTGTTCCTGTGAAGCTGGATGGACAGGAACAAAATGCAACATAGGTCAGTTTCATTAAACCACCAAGCATGTAGTAGTTTTTTTCCAGGCTAACTTTATAATTTTATATGCCTCGAACTATACTAGTACTGCCATTGAGTTACAATATTACCGTTGATGACTTAGTACAGTCGTTCACGAGAGTGAGTCACTGACCTAGTCGGTCAGCTCACACAGTCACATTTTCATAATAGTCATATTTTTGTCAATTGGATACCCAGATATTGACGAATGTGCCTCCAACCCCTGTCAACACGGCACCTGTGCTGACAGTGTGAACAGCTACTCCTGCACGTGTCAGTTTGGATACACAGGAACACACTGCCAAACAAGTTTGTCTCGTCAATATTACTTTTTCATTTCTAGATAGCAAAATCATTTCAATAAAATTTGCACAAGGCATTTTGTAATTCCGAACTTACGACACACATACAGACATCAACGACTGTGTACCCAACCCCTGTGACCACGGCTCCTGTACTGATCGAGTGAACAGCTACACTTGTACCTGTGAAGCCGGATGGACAGGAACAAACTGCAACATAGGTCAGTTTCATTAAACCACCAAGCATGTAGTAGTTTTTTCCAGGCTAACTTTATAATTTTATGTGCCTCGAACTATACTAGTACTGCCATTGAGTTACAATATTACCGTTGATGACTTAGTACAGTCGTTCACGAGAGTGGCCCAGTGGGTCAAGTCATAGTCATATTTTTATAATAGTCATATTTTTGTCAATTGGATACCCAGATATTGACTACTGTACGTCCAACCCCTGTCAACACGGCACCTGTGCTGACAGTGTAAACAGCTACTCCTGCACGTGTCACTTTGGATACACAGGAATACACTGTCAAACAGGTTTGTTTCGTCAATATTACTTTTTCATTTCTTGCAAGGATAATCATTTCAATGAAATGCGCACAAGCCATTTTTTTAAAATTCCAAACTTACGACACACCCACAGACATCAACGACTGCGTACCCGACCCCTGTGACCACGGCTCCTGTACTGATGGTGTGAACAGCTACACTTGTACCTGTCAAGCTGGATGGACTGGAACAGACTGTAACATAGGTCAGTTTCATTAAACCACCAAGCATGTAGTAGTTTTTCCAGGCTAACTTTATAATTTTATGTGCCTCGTACTATACTAGTGCTGCCATTGAGTTACAATATTACCGTTGATGACTTACAGTCGTTCACGAGAGTGGCCCAGTCAGCCAAGTCATAGTCACATTTTCACAATAGTCATATTTTTGTCAATTGGATACCCAGATATTGACGACTGTACGCCCAACCCCTGTCAACATGGCACCTGTGCTGATAGTGTGAACAGCTACTCCTGCACGTGTCAGTTTGGATACACAGGAACACACTGCCAAACAGGTTTGTTTGATTCGTTAATATGACTTTCTCATTTCTTGTTAGCATAATCATTTCAATGATGTGTGCTCAAGCCATTTTTTAATTCCGAGTTTACGCCATACCCACAGACATCAACGACTGTATTCCCGATCCCTGTGACCACGGCTCCTGTGCTGATGGAGTGAACAGCTACACTTGTACCTGTGAACCTGGATGGACTGGAACAGACTGCAACATAGGTCTGTTTCATCAGCATAACCTTAACTGCGATGACATATATAAATCTACCAACAAGCATGTAGTTTCCCTAGGCTGACTTTTTATCATTTTATGTGCTTTGTACTATACTAGTACTGCCATTGAGTAACAGTGCTACCGTCGATAACTTACAGTCAACTTTGTTCACGAGAGTGACCCAGTGGGACAAGTTTTACAGGATTCCAAAAGTCACATTCTCTTGATAGTTTTATTTTTGTCTGTTGGATACACAGATATTGACGAATGTACGTCCAATCCCTGTCAACACGGCACCTGTGCTGACAGTGTGAACAGCTACTCCTGCACGTGTCAGCCTGGATACACAGGAACTCACTGCGAAACAGGTTTGTTCTGAAGACTTTGATACACCCAGGGCCTTCAGTCGCATGTTGTATTTGCTGTATGTTTCGTCTTTCTATAGACTATGATACCACGCAAGAAACAAGATTCACAAAAGTCACATTTTCTTAATAGTTATATTTTTTATTTTTGTCTGTTGGATACCCAGATATTGACGACTGTACGTCCAACCCCTGTCAACACGGCACCTGTGCTGACAGTGTGAACAGCTACTCCTGCACATGTCAATTTGGATACACCGGAACACACTGTGAAACAGGTTTGTTTTGTCAATATTTCTTTTTTATTTCTAGTTAGTATGATCCTTTCTATGATGTGGGCTCAAGCTATTTTTAAATTCCGAGTTTACGCCATACCCACAGACATCAACGACTGTGCGCCCAACCCCTGTGACCACGGCTCCTGTACTGATGGAGTGAACAGCTACACTTGTACCTGTCAACCTGGATGGACAGGAACAAACTGCAACATAGGTCAGTTTCATTAAACCACCAAGCATGTAGTAGTTTTTTCCAGGCTAACTTTATAATTTTATGTGTATATTTTAATTTTACTAGTATAGTGCCTTGTACTATACTAGTACTGCCATTTAGTTATACTACCGTTGATAACTTACAGTCATTCGCGAGAGTGGCCCAGTCGTTCAAGTCATAGTCACATTTTCTTAATAGTCATCTTTCTGTCAATTGGATACACAGATATTGACGAATGTGCCTCCAACCCCTGTCAACACGGCACCTGTGCTGATGGTGTGAACAGCTACTCCTGCACGTGTCAATTTGGATACACAGGAACACACTGCCAAACAGGTTTGTTTCGTCAATATTACTTCCTCATTTCTTGCAAGTATAATCATTTCAATGAAATGCGCACAAGCCATTTTTTTTTAAATTCGGAACTTACGACACACATACAGACATCAACGACTGTTCGCCCAACCCCTGTGACCACGGCTCCTGTACTGATGGTGTGAACAGCTACACTTGTACCTGTGAACCTGGATGGACTGGAACAGACTGCAACATAGGTCTGCTGCATCAACATACCCTTAACTGTGATGACATAAAAATCTACCACCAAGCATGTAGTTTTCCTAGGATGTCCTTTTATAATTCCATGTGCTTTATACTTTACTAGTTCTGCCATTGAGTAACAGTGCTACCGTGTTAACGTACAGTCAACTTTGTTCACGAGAGTGGTCCAGTGGGACAAGTTTTACAGGATTCCAAAACTCCCATTCTCTTGATAGTCATATTTTTGTCTATTGGATACCCAGATATTGACGAATGTGCGTCCAACCCCTGTCAACACGGCACCTGTGCTGACAGTGTGAACAGCTACTCCTGCACATGTCAGCCTGGATACACCGGAATACACTGTCAAATAGGTTTGTTTCGTTAATATGACTTTCTCATTTCTTGTTAGCATAAAAATTTCGATGAAATGCGCACAAGCCACTTTTTTTTAATTCCTAATTTACGACACACACACAGACATCAACGACTGTGTACCCAACCCCTGTGACCACGGCTCCTGTACTGACGGCGTGAACAGCTACACTTGTACCTGTGAACCTGGATGGACAGGACCAAACTGCAACATAAGTCAGTTTCATTAACATAACTGTAATGACATGTAAATCTGCCATCAGGCATGTAGTTTTTCTAGGCTGGCTTTTTTATCATTTTATGTGCTTTGTACTATACTAATAACAATGCTACCGCTGATAACTTACAGTCAACTTTGTTTACGAGAGTGACCGAGTTTTACAGTATTACAGAAGTGAAATTCTCTTGATAGATCTAGTTATATTTGTCAATTGGATACACAGATGTTGACGAATGTTCGTCCAACCCCTGTCAACACGGCACCTGTGCGGACAGTGTGAACAGCTACTACTGCACGTGTCAATTTGGATGGACGGGAACAGACTGTGAAATAGGTTTGTTCTGGGCACTTTGATACACTCATGGCTTCCATTCGCATGTTGTACTTGCTGTAAGTTTGGTCTTTCTATGATACCACACAAGAAACAAGATTCAGTAACAAATCGTTGCTTTGTTTCCAGATATTGATGAGTGTGCGCCTGTCCCCTGTGACCACGGTACCTGTGTGGACGGTGTTAACAGTTATACCTGCAGCTGTGAAGCTGGATGGACTGGGACAGACTGTCAAATAGGTATGCTCTTTTATTATATTGATAATTAGGATCATCTATATCTTCTCTAGAAAGCGCTGTCAAGCTTCCTTGGCAGCGCTTTGTACTTTAGTGCTGTTTTTTAAAGAAAACAGAACGTCTAGATTCAGTAAGTCTTATCTTGTACATCTACAGATCTTGATGACTGTGCGTCTAGCCCCTGTCGACACGGTGCCTGTGCCGATAGCGTGAACAGCTACTCTTGTTTCTGTCAATTTGGATGGACGGGGACGCACTGTGAAACAGGTTTGTGTTGCAAACATTACAAAGCTGTAGTAATGTAGCTGTAGTGCTAGCAACAGAAATGTACCAGTTTATAGTATCTGAAAGTTCTGATTTTTATAACGAGATTTGAACGTGGTTCAGTGGGTTAGAGTGAGCTCAGGGTTATGCTACAGTAATACCTTCGTTCAATGTTTCTTCTATTATAGCAGTAGATATTTTGCTAATCTAGTAGCAAATCAGTACTTTTCATGTCATAAACAATTGAATTATAGTATTTTTTACTGTATCTGTTTTTCGCAGATATCGATGACTGCACACCTGACCCTTGTGACCACGGCACCTGCATAGATGGAGTAAACAGCTACACCTGCACCTGCCAGCCTGGGTGGACAGGACAAGACTGTCACATTGGTGCGTTTCGAATTCATTTATCGCAACTTGTGAATGTATACAACCCATGCTATGGTAATGATTTTTCAAGCAATGTCAGTGAACGGTCCTCTAGACTAGATTAACTTTTTTCAATCCATTGTCATTTCAGTTTTCTATAGCATAGTCTCACGTAGTTCTCTGGAAGTCATGCAAAAAAACATAGATTTTGATGCAATATATGATAACCAGGTTACATTGTACATTTCTTATGATTGTATCTTTCAACAGATATTGACGACTGTGCGTCTAACCCCTGTGATCACGGAAGCTGTGCTGACAGTCTGAATCTTTACTCCTGTACATGTCAACCTGGATGGACGGGGCAAAACTGCGACATAGGTCTGTTTTTTGTCAATCTGACACTATCCTGGTCATTGTAGTAACAATAGACATTTCGTCTTGAATTATAGCATGTTTACCGTATCTGTTTTTCACAGACATCTATGACTGCACACTCTACCCCTGTGACCACGGCAGCTGCGCAGATGGAGTAAACAGCTACACCTGCACCTGCCAGCCTGGATGGACAGGACATGACTGTCACATAGGTGCGTTTCATTTAACGAAACTAATGTATCTTTCAACAGATATTGACGACTGTGCGTCTAACCCCTGTGATCACGGAAGCTGTGCTGACAGTCTGAACCTTTACTCCTGCACATGTCAGCCTGGATGGACGGGCGAAAACTGCCACATAGGTCTGTGTTTTGTCAATCTGTCACTTTCGTGGACATTGTAGTAACAATAGACATTTCATCTTGAATTATAGTATGTTTACTGATCTGTTTTTCGCAGACATCGATGACTGCACACCCGACCCTTGTGACCACGGCACCTGCGCAGATGGAGTAAACAGCTACACCTGCACCTGCCAGCCTGGATGGACAGGACACGACTGTCATATAGGTGCGTCTCATTTAACGAAACTTGTGAATATATACAACCCATGCTATGGTAGTGATTTTTCAAGCAATGTCAGTGAACGGTCCTCTAGATTTACTTTTTTTCAATCCATTTTAACTTCAGTTTTCTATAGCATAGCCTCACGTAGTTCCATGGAAGGCATGCAAAAAAGAAAAAAGATTTTGATGCAATATCTGATAACCAGGTTACATTGTACATGCTCATGATTGTATCTTTCAACAGATATTGACGACTGTGCGTCTAACCCCTGTGATCACGGAAGCTGTGCTGACAGTCTGAACCTTTACTCCTGCACATGTCAGCCTGGATGGACGGGACAAAACTGCCACATAGGTCTGTCTTTTGTCAATCTGACACTATCCTGGTCATTGTAGTAACAATAGACATTTCGTCTTGAATTATAGCATGTTTACCGCATCTTTTTTTCGCAGATATCGATGACTGCACGCCAGACCCCTGTGACCACGGCACCTGCGCAGATGGAGTAAACAGCTACACCTGCACCTGTCAGCCTGGATGGACAGGAAAAGACTGCCACATAGGTGCGTTTCATTTAACGAAACTTGTGAATGTATACAACCCATGCTATGGTAGTGATTTTTCAAGCAATGTCAGTGAACGGTCCTGTAGATTTACTTTTTTTCAATCCTTTTTCACTTCAATTTTCTATAGCATAGCCTCACGTGGTTAATTCCCTGCAAAAAAGTTAACATAGATTTTGATGCAATATCTGATAAACCAGGTTACATTGTACATGCTCATCATTGTATCTTTCAACAGATATTGACGACTGTGCGTCTAACCCCTGTGATCACGGAAGCTGTGCTGACAGTCTGAACCTTTACTCCTGTACATGTCAACCTGGATGGACGGGCGACAACTGCCACATAGGTCTGTTTTTTTTCAGTCTGACACTATCCTGGTTATTGTAGTAACAATAGGCATTTCATCTTTACCATATCTGTTTTTCACAGACATAGATGACTGCACACCCGACCCATGTGACCACGGTGCCTGTGCTGACAGTATAAACAACTACACCTGCACATGTGATGTTGGATGGAAAGGACCCAACTGCAATATAGGTTTGTTGTATTATCAATATGATTTAGAATTCTTTTTATTTTTTCACATTTTCGTGAGTTTGTGATAAGAAAAAGTTCTCTAAAATTCCATCCAATTCATACCCAACTGACTGAAACTGACAGCCTTCTCATCAAACGTCACAAACGAAGTAATAATGGAGTCATATATGTTATATTTGTAGATCAGACTACCAGTGCTACCACTACAAAGGAACAAACACTTGTCACCTCAGCCCCTGTCACTGCATCTAAATCACCAGGCGAAGAAGCACCAAATAGCCCGGGACCCGGAGTTGTAGCGTGGGCTGCAGTTGGGTGTTTTACCGGCGGGTTACTGGTAGGGGGCGCTGCAGTGTTTCTGTCTCTGCGTTTCAGGGCGGCAAAGAATAGCGGGAAAATAGGCGTTGGCGATAGACAGTGTGAAAACGTACAACGACCCGGAAACAGAAGTTATAACGAATATGGAGTTCACATGGTAACCTTCCAACCACCAACCCTCCAACAGCTTAAGCCCAGTGGCGACTACCAGGACCTGAGGACCGCCATCTACCACAGTCTGCAAAAACACTGAATAGACCGTCATATAAGGCATGGCTGAATGAGTTACCAAAGAACATGTACGCACATGTACAAAACTGGTGTGTTACGCCTAAAGAGGTTTACCGGTTATGCGAAACAAACAAACAAACAAACAAACAAACAAACAAACAAAACAAGGACACTCAGTATCCATAAACATATTAACTGAAAATTAAGATATCAAGTTGTACATGATGTTACTTTCCTGCTGTTTACTTGTATCAAAGCCACATGGATAATAAATACAGAATGGTGTTTTTTAAATATATTTTTCTGACATTTTTTATTGTTTATTGTGGTTTATCGTGGAACAACTCTCCTTTAGCTGACCACCAGTGGGTGAAAGCTATTCATCCAGGAGAGGGATTCATCCAGTACATAGAAACATCGGACCTAGCTGAACGCGGTGTAACCGATTTCATCTCATGTTTTAATCTGATACTAACGTTACTACTCGTTTCTATGTAAATAAAATGGTTCTTTGGGAGGCAGGTTACTAGTTTAGAAGAGGGAATGAATGCCTAATAGTTTTAAAGAGTGTAAAAGAGGTGCTGTTTTATTCTGAAACGTGGTCAGGACTAGTGTGTTCACTACGTCCCCACGCACTATTGAATACAGTACTGAACATTCCTGTCCTTGGTGCTGAACGCTATCCACTTACAAGCCAACACGGCTATTCATTGTAACAACACTTTATTTCAATCCGCCACTTTTCAGCATTTCCACAATTGAATCATAGGTCAACATTGGGCTGTTACTGCTTGCTTAAACAGTTTTTGAGCGGGCTATCCAAAGTTCTTAAACTGTTTTACGTGAATGTTATTGTACATTACCTTCGACACATACTCCGACCTTGAGTTATTTAAATGAAGGAAGATTTAGGCATCTTCTAGTTGCCATTATCACTTGCAAACAACCATGCATATCTACGCAACAGTGATTTTAAAACCCAACTTGACTTTGGACCCTACAGGACTTGGAATAACCCCGCATTTGAACATTGCATCATCATCATCAGGTCAGGGGTCATATTCTGAGGCACGGCCGCGGAGGCCAGTAAACAACATTCAGACTTCTCCTGCCTGTCCAGCTCCGTTCAAACTCAGGTCATGTTTTCTACGATAGATACGTAGGCAAAAACGTCGCTATCCTCACAGTTCAACTGTGATTGAGTTCAGTTGCGATAACGTTACGAATAGTTAGAATTTGAAAACCCGGAAAATACTATAAATTTATAAACAGACGTCTGACTCGGAGCCTTTTTCGCCGTTTTTAAGTGCAAAGTTAGACCACCTCCACCTCCAAGCATTCTTTAGGCATTGGAAAAACGAATTGCTTTCCAGCAGAATGCAGAGTGGAGCTGACAGCACTGCTGAAGGTGAGTAAACACCTTGGAACAGCAAGGTAGTGGGAGGGGCGAGGGGTTGACGGAAAAAGCGGTCCAGTCTGGTCGGGGTGGAAAAAGCGGTCCGGCGACGCAGTTGACCGCCTAGCAGAACGTGGCAGAATGTTTGAACGATTGCATGATGCCACTATGACACCATTAGATTCATAACATCAAATGTTATCACACAATGGATAATAGCATAGCTATAACATTATTAATGTAAAAGCTACAGCAGTCATGTTGTGTGTATCACAGGGTTGTACACCCCTCCTGCTGTCCACACACCCTCATTACAACAACTCTCCCAGTCAGCTGCCAAGTTCAACCTGGACATGGATGAAGCAGAACTAAAGCAATATCAAGGTAAGGATCATTGCTATATTATATGAATTATACTATGTGTAATTCTAACATGTCTTCCTTTAGAATAGCAGAACTTGTTGTAAAATGTAACATGAGGTGGATTGAAGAATGTGCTTCATAGTTCACCTATCATTGTTCAGACTCCAGGGCATGGCACAAACATATTCTGCAACCTTTTTCATGATTGTGATTCATCCAATCATTATACTACTTGCTGAATGAACACACCTGTACGTGAGTGAAGGCCTTGTCTCTAATGTCATAGATCAGCTTATATATATCATAATGTAACGTTCTGCAATCTACTCTGTTGACAAAGATGTCATCAGGGAATCGCTGGTGTCTTACCAGCGAGTGGCTGAGATGACAGAACCCATTCCAGCTGTGAAGTGGCCGAGAACACCAGGCAGGCGTCCTGAGCCTGAAGACAACCCACATAATGCATGGTCAGTGGTGATGGAGGAGGGGTGGGGGTAATGTTGTAGTTAGGTGCAAGAGGGTTCAGACAAGGTTGTTTTAAACATCATCCGTGATTCGTAATGTTTCATACAAAGCTGCTTTTTGGAGGATACAATCAGGTTATGAACAATATATGAAGTCAATCATACACTTACTGTTTGCTGTATCAATGCTCCTGATGTATACTTGTAAATGCTGTGCCTCATGACTTTCATGTTATATCAATGGATACCCAAGATGGCTATATGATAGCTAATAGTCCTGTACTCATGAATGACTGTTGGGCATTACCACAACGAACATGTAATTTGTGATATGTTAGTGTGGAGAGACAATTTCGTACGTTCATAATGCCATATAACGACTGTCTACAACTACTCATTGTTTTAAAGGTACTGGCGAACAGAGATCACGGGTGCTCCTTCAGGAAAGCTACAAGGGAAGACCGTGGCCATCAAAGATAACGTGGCCGTTGCGGGGGTTCCTATGACAAACGGCAGTCGCATGATGGAAGGATATATCCCTGAGTATGATGCCACCATTGTCACCAGGATCCTAGATGCAGGCAAGAATGTACCTTAATACTGTATGTATCCAACTTTTAACGCAACAGAAAAAGTTGTCATTTTTTAAAGCAATTATTGTATCTAAATCCCATATACTCTGGGAAAACAGAAGTTCAGATATACAGACCCTAATTTTTGTTATGATGATTGCCTTTGCCAGATGGTTAATATGTTTTTGGTAGTGTTTGTATGTGTGTGAACTACGTGATATGTAATTTAGCACAATAACTCAAGAACCTATGAATAGATTGTAATGAAACTTGGTAGGTGGGTAGGTCTTGATAAGACCTCAAAATGATTAGATTTTAGGCTCCCTGGTGGCTTGCCTTGGTACTGAAATGCCATCTCCTAGACTACCCTTATTACTCCCAAAATAACCCTTATAACATGGTTTGTACTTTTTCATAGGTGGGACCATCAAGGGAAAGTCTGCGTGTGAGGACCTGTGTATGTCAGGTGACAGTTTCACATCTGTTACCGGCCCAGTGCTGAATGCTCACAACAGGGAAAGGTCTGCTGGAGGCTCGAGCAGTGGAAGTGCCACTCTGGTACAAATTATGAATCATTATAAAGCTCAGTACAATATGAGAAGTTGTGAAAATATAAAAACAAATGCTATACCCTTGCATTACATTGTCATACTTCCATCAATATAGTAAGTATTATTACTCTAGGGTACAGGGATTTTCTTTTACACAACTAAAACGTTTCTCACCATGCTTACGTTTCGATGTCTATCAGAGACTCAGAGCTCTGAGGAAGGTGTCTAAAAAGTTTTGGATGTGTAAAAGAAAATCCCAGGCCTATATCCTAATATATGTTACCAGTCCTACCCGATGAAACCATTTTCGGTAGTTCAGTGAAACATGTCAGATAAAACTTTAAAGCATCTTTCTATATTCATTATACAATTAGCTCTCACTGGAATAATTAGATAGCAGGATAGTTTTTTTTTCAATGCTGATTGCATTTCTGCTCATTGGTGCATGATGTACTTTTGCTTGAACATCACCCAGCTTGCACTTGGGGAGGTGGACCTTGCCATAGGCGGAGACCAGGGCGGTTCTATCCGGATCCCTGCGGCCTGGTCCGGAGTGGTGGGCCTGAAGCCGACCTACGGACTGGTGCCCTACACGGGCTGTGCCTCTATAGAGATGACCCTGGACCATGTGGGACCCATGGCCAGGACTGTACATGATGTCGCTCTCATGTTGGAAGTGAGTAAAAATGAGTACGTCGGCAGAATGTACTAACCTTGTATTGTATTGTGCATGGCACTTTGGGCATAACTTTTAAAGTTTGTTGTGTTTGCGTATTTGCATATTGCGTATGAACTTTTAATTTGTAATTAATATGGTATACTGGTGAGTGGTGACTGATATCATATCATGTTTATGTCAGTGTAGTAGCAGTGATATGATTTCCCCTTATACAGGTTTTGGCTGGGTATGACGATGGTCTAGATCCGCGCCAACCAGCAAACCTAACTGTGCCAGAATACACAAAACAGGTTAGTTCTGTATAATATATTTATTTCTGCAGAAGGAAAACATTTTTAAGCTCGGTTTCTTCTTCTACTTCTCTTTAAAACAAATAAAGTCAATGACCTGGATCAGACATCTGTCACCATGGTAACTGGTGCTGTAGCAGATACCCTGTGGTGTTGGGTTACATTATGTAGCAAGTTGCATGACGGAGTTGGAGGGGTTGTTCAAATAGCTTTATCATCACATATATATACCAAAACTCAAAGAAATCTGTCAAACCCGCCATGAGTTACATGTATAGCTGTGAACACTCAAACACAACCAAAAACAGTACCTTCCCACAATTACTTCCTCAGAGGTAACAAGTGATTCCACTCTATATCCTTACAGCTGACAGGTGACCTGAGCGGCATAAGAGTTGGTCTGCTGAAGGAAGGGTTTGGGAATGAATGGGCAGAACCTGATGTAGATGAACTGGTCCGTGCACAGGCACACAGGCTGACTTCAGCTGGTGCTGTAGTGGAGGACATGTCTGTTCCCTTACATTACCCAGATGGTACTTTCCTCTTCTTGTTGACACTTTTTATTATATATTGGTTATGCTGAAGGGTATCAGATTTTGTGTTCAAGGCTTGAAACTCCACCTGCATATGCAGTTTGGTGCAGGTAAAATTGGAGCTGTGCATGTATTTCTGATGTCTACCTGCTCCTAACCTGCACTGGTCCATGTACTGCGTATATGCAGTTTAGTGCAGGTAAAATTGGAGCTGTGCAGGTATTTCTGATGTCTACCTGCTCCTAACCAGTGTACTGGTCCATGTACTGGGTATATGCAGGTTAGTTCAGGTAAAATTGGAGCTGTGCAGGTATTTCTGAATTTTACCTGCATCTAACCTGTAATGTTACCAGTCCATGTACTGGGTCTGGGTAATAATATACTTTATGTGTATGTGGATTTTTATTTGCTTCATTGACTGTTACCAACCTTGGTACAGGTTTGTGTCAAAATTTGTCTGGTGCAGAAAGGATTTAAAGCTCTGGTGTTGTTTTATGTAATAGAATCCTGCTTTCAAATGCTTTGCAGGTTGCAGTGAGCAATCATAATGACCAATTCTTCCATGTAAAATGAAATTTGTCATAGGCTCTGTTTACATTGTTTTGCAGCCTCCCATATTTATAGCACAATAAATGAAGGCTGTTTGGAGACTATGATAAAAGGGAATCCAGGTGAGTCATTTCTATGTTAATTTTTTTCTTGGAAATGAACTTATAATGTGTAAAAGAAAAGGTTCTCAGATTACTGATTTCACATAATCAGATATTAAAGTTTTTATCTTGTCCATGTTATTAGATAAAAAGAATATGGTACATGTTGTATCTATGTTTACCTTTGCAGAAGAAAAATATATTGCTTTTTGATCTATTTCTTCTCCTTCTCCAAACATATGAGGTCAATGACCTGGACCAGACTGCTCTCACCATGGTAACTGGTGTTGTAGCAGACACCCTGTGGTGTTGGGTTATATTATGTAGTAAAACAGTTGGAGGGGCTGGTCACCATATACATAATATATACTCCATGAATGTGTTTGAATAAGACAAAATTTTACCTTTCTAGTTATCTTAAATACCAGGAAGACTTATTCTAAGTTTGTTTACAGAAATGCAATTAACTTTAATCTGATATTATATAACCAAGGTTCTGATGTTTTACCACTAATAATCCACAGGAGTAGGTGTAGGCTGGAAGGGCTTCTACCCTACAAGCATGCAGGATGCCTTAGCTAAAGGATACAGAACACGGCCAAATGACATGTCACCAACTGCGAAATTTACATATTTGATGTATGATTGTATCACAACAAACTATGGGAACAGGTAATGTTCTAAACTATTAATTCCTATCTTTCTTGTTTTAAAATCAAATGCTGCTTTATCAGAATTTAAGGAGACCTAATATATGGGTACATGTTTTAAATGTAGGGACTTTTATAAGTTAAAACTTGTACTTCAGATTATACTGTATTGCCTGCCATTCACTTGTTACCTCTGAAAATGGAGGTACCGTATTCTTTGCGTTTGTCTGTCTGTGTGTTTGTGTTTCTGGATATTTGTGTCAGCTTAGCTGAAGGTCTTGATGGATTGTGATAATGCTTGATGTATATGAATAGGTCTTGTTACATTTGGAATAATGCATAATTTGCAGTGTGACAAAACAGACAAAAATGTGGACTAATAGTCATTTTAGTGATTAAAATCAAGAGAGATGTTCACTAACAACTTAATTTTAACTGAAACATTGTTTTCACTTGAAGGTTCTATGCCAAAGGACAGAACTTGAGTCGTGTGCTGACACATGCGTACAACCAGGCTCTCAGTAGGTATGATGTCATCATCATGCCCACCATTCCATTCAAGGCAACCAAGCTTCCAAATAAGGACATATCCACCAGTGGTAAGTTTGCTTTGGTCTCTCTTTCTGCTTTTCAAAATTTTCTTCATCTTATATGATATGTATTATGATTTGTTGTAATGTATGAAAACTGATTGTACAACATTTTATCACATCAGATGTCAAATCATGGAGCTAGAAAAGGTTGATCAGCACGAAAGATTTAATATTTTTTGTATTACTGTGGTTATAGAGCTATATATTTGTACTACAAAGATGTATATTACCCTTTCATCTGTTCACCTGTACTAAGGCCGATAGGGCATGAATGTACAATAAAGGTTATTATTAATACTGGGGTCCAAACAAAAAAAGGCTAGGACCTTTTTTTCTAGGGTTGGTCGACAGGAAACAAAACATTTTGTTTCCTAGCTTTATTTTTAAAGTGGTACTTGCATACTTGTTGCATAATCGCTTTTAATAATTGTTGTATGATTGACTTTTTCAGAAATCGTCAGGACGGCGCTGAATTTTGGACAGGTGACCAACGTATGTCCGTTCGACCTGACCGGACACCCCGCCCTCAGCATCAACGCAGGGTTCTCACACGGGCTGCCCGTCGGCATGATGATCGTCGGCCGCCTGTTCAATGACGCCACCGTGCTGAAAGTGGCACATGCGTACGAGAAAATTAGGGATTCAGTTTGATTTCAAAGACATGATTATTTTTTGTGTAACAGTGGGGGGGTTATAGGCGCTACCAACTGACCCGGCCAATGGGTCTAGGCCTTTTAGCCGAGTGGTTTGAGTGTCAGGATTTTAAGCTGGCAGCCTGGCCTGGGAGGTCGTGGGTTCGAACCCCAGCCCGGGACCAGGGGTTTTTATCTGTTTCTACTCGCTCCTCCAGTTTCTTACATTTGCTCTGTTTCCTGTTCTTCTTCTTCTCCAAACCAATAAGGTCAATGACTTGAACCAGACGTCTGTCACCATGGTAACTGGTGTTTGGTTACATGATGTTGCAATTTTATAGCAGGAGGGATGTAGACTCCTGTCACCATATATATGAATGTGTTTGAGTAAGAATTGACAGAGCAGACCATATGCAAAGGTAAACATTATGCATATGCTTTGCAAATGTTACCTTTCAGGTTGTAAATTTGGTAATGTTAAGTAGGTTGGGAGCAAGGTCCAGGCATTTATCAATTTCTGGTGTAATGGACAAATGAATTATGAATGAAAAACTTTATTATAATGCCTTGTGTAGTATAGGCAAGGAGGTTATAGTATATAACCTCCTTGGTATAGGCAATACGCCTAAATACAGGTGATATTGAAGCAACAGGTATACGTCTATTACATAGCAACAGGAAAACACAGAAAATAACACATAAATATTCGTGATACAATATTATGTGTGATCTAAGGCACAGCTTCTCCGTGCTTCTAAGTGTGACAACAGGCACGTTTGTCAAAGCACAAGAAAATGATTTTAGATGTTCGTGTAACTTTAAACATATAACTCCTCTTGCGGAGGTTAAATGCACTGCAGCCTGTAATGTTTATATCATCAGTAAATGCTACTGTACAGCTACAACGTTACAGCAATAAAATATAGATATAGCGTCTCATCTAACATTGTATACAAGGTATAATGCTATTAGTTTTCTTAACTTTATCCATACTCTTCGTAAGTGTATGTTTTACCAAGGACATTACATGTGTCCTTGGTTTTACTCACTACAGAACAATAACAATCGCCCTGGCTTTAAAGTTCAGAGTTCAAATGTGGGAGTGGTAGATAGGACTCGGATACTTCCTACCGCTGTGAGCGTAACCTGTGTCACTGTTAACCCGTACGGAACGATGCTGTGGCCTGCTGCGGGTGTGTTCAGACGACTGGGCGGCTATGGCAGGGTCGTGGTGCAAAGGAGAGGGAAAGGTAAGAACAGGTGCGAAGGGGGCGGTGTACTAGGGGTTATGGTACAGCCACAAATGTTTACATTCGGGGTTACCAAAATACTGCATAACATCGTGCTACGTATATGTACCCTAAGTCCAGTGTGCGTGTGCATGTTGAAATGGGGTAATCACAGTGCGTTCAGCTTGCAGGTGTCAGAGTAACGAAAAATGTGTAGTAAAATGCCTTCTTCAAATTACAAATAGTGTCATAAAGCCCATCATTTACTATTACAATTAACGTGTGTACAAGGACATTATATAAAGACGTATAACACCACGGCACCTTTGTGTTTTGTGACTACGCAATGCGGATTAACGTTATAAATTAAAACGTTTACCTACAGAATTTGCCCTGCTACATATCAGCGCGATGATCGTTGTTTCCAGCAGTGCGTGAGTGTACTTTCGCCCTGTTTGTCAAGCCGCCAACATAAGATAAACATCGAAGGTAGGGTCAACTTAGTGTCAGGGTCGTAGCGAGTTCAGGCATGGCCTTCAATGACTGTTCGCACGAGAGCCTCCTACCAATTGTTTTCTACTAAACCGAGACTGACATATATTGCTATCCAACAGGGCGGTACGCCGCCCCGGCTGTCCGTACGCCGTCCCTACAGCAGCTATCCCGGGCAGCGGACAAGTTCAACCTCGAGCTAGACCAAGCGGAACTACAGGAATTTCAAAGTAAGAATTGAAAAGGACTCAAATAGCAAACATACTAGGAAAGGGTGATACAACTGTTAAGTGTCAGTCTTAAATTCTATTTGCAAAAGATCTTCTCGTAACACAAATGTTTTGCTGTGTTTCCTCTTCAAACACAAAAGGTCAATGACCTGGACCAGACGGCTGTCACCATGGTAACTGGTGCTATAGCGTATACCCTGTGGTGTTGGGTTACATTATGTAGCAAGTTGGAGGGGCTGGTCACTCCATGCATTGTATGTATGTGTTCGAGTAAGAAAAACAAAGCAGTAGTTGGTCTACACCATGCATTTGTTTTGCAAATGTTCTACTAACTATGTAATTTTTTTGTGCTTTAGATGTAATGAAGGGTACCTTGGCGTCCTACCAGCGGGTTGACCAGCTAGTGGAGCCGGTACCGCCCGTCAAGTGGCCGCGGACGCCGGGCTGGCGGCCTGGCCCTGAGGAGAACCCGCACAACGCATGGTGAGCGTGCCTTCGTAGTTCGTACATTAAACAAATTTAGCGTAATTATCGTTGAACAACACAACACAACAGAACAGAACATAACACAACGCATCTCGTTTTTACCGTGGCCGACAAGTACACATCACGCAGGTGTTTGCGCGACGACGCAGGTGTGTACTTCTGGGCCACGGTACGTTTCCATGCTCTAGGTACTGGCGAACAGAGATCACGGGTGCTCCTTCAGGCAAGCTACAAGGGAAGACCGTGGCCATCAAAGATAACGTAGCCGTGGCGGGGGTACCTATGATGGACGGCAGTAGGGTACTGGAGGGATATGTGCCAGAGTTTGATGCCACCATTGTCACCAGGATTCTTGATGCTGGTAGGATTTTACCAATTAGAACAATCGCAGCATGAAAGTTCACCTGTTTAAGTACAAGTCATCATGAAATAAAGACTAAACTTTAGGAGTGAAGGAGGCGGTTTACATTAGAGCTCACAGACCTACCCTGAAGAGAGACGGGGGGCGACACAAGTTATCTGGCACGTATGACCCGCTTCTCTGGTCACTGTTCCAAGAGTAGACGGGTCCATTCCTTTATTAATTAACAAGGTTGAAGAATTCGAAGGCAGCTGAAAATTTGCGGTAAGTCTCAATTTATTTCAGCGTTGGAAGGAAAGTCTTTATTTCATAGAACAATCATGTTGATTTTTTTTCGTAAATCACATCTAGTTGTCACCGGTGTACCTTATTCTTGAAATTACAATAAATGATTGTACTACGGCATTTTCCATGGTAACTAAAATGGTATCTCTTTTGCATCAATTTTCCATGAATGCTCTATCTCTTCAGGTGGAGTCATCAAGGGGAAGTCTGTGTGTGAGGATCTGTGCATGTCTGGTAACAGTTTCACCTCAGCCACTGGACCGGTGCTGAACGCGCACGACAACACCCGGTCATCGGCAGGCTCCAGCGCCGGCAGCGGCACTTTGGTACGCCGATGACATTCTCTCTAAGCAGAGGTTTAGTCTACAGCTTACTTTTGACACACTTTTTAATCGGGCTTTCTTCTTTGCAATGGTATGAAGTTTTTTTCGGGCTTTAATCGGGCTTTCGTCTTCATAATGGTATCTTGCTTTCGCAAGCGGATGCTGTCTTACCAATTCAGTACTGTCATGCCAATTCAACCACCAGAATGTCTGCTTGGAGACATTTGGAGACAGAAATGCAAGATTTCTGGTCTTTTATGATCCCACTACTTCCGAAGTTCGTATTTTAGGATGACAAGTGTTATCCCCAACGTATCATTCAAGATTCTGCCGAAAGATTATGCACAGTGATCATCGGCAAGACACAGTTATTGTCCATGTCATTTCCAAATCCAAAATAGTAAATATCTCGTTTCTCATAGCCATACAGAAAGGGTTTCCCTTTACTCGTCGATGGCTATAGTCTTCTTCGTAAAACTATATACTAACACGGGCGTGTATGTATTGATTACCAGCTGGCATTGAAAGAAGTAGACCTGGCGATCGGAGGAGACCAGGGCGGGTCCATCCGGCTGCCTTCCGCCTGGTCCGGGGTGGTGGGACTGAAGCCGACCCACGGGCTGGTCCCCTACACCGGGTGCCTTCCCATGGACACTACTATCGACCATATCGGACCGATGGCCAGGACTGTGGCAGACACCGCACTTATGTTAGAGGTGAGGATATTGTGATTAAAATATGTTTAAAATACGTAGGCATGATGATGAGTATATTGATGACTAGCCCCTCCAACTTTGTCCTGCAACTTGCTACATAATGTAACCCAACACCACAAGGTGTCTGATACATCACCAGGTACCATGGTGACAGACGTCTGGTTGAGGTCGTTGACTACGTTTCTGTAGACATCGCAAACCGAGTAATGTCTATGGCTTACGGTTTTACGGAGATGACTTATTTACCAACCATAGTTTGGGGGCTAAAGCATAGATCAGTCTGCATGTATAAAATTACATATAAGGTATAAAAGAATGATTTTGTTTTTTAAATTTGATCTGAAGGTCCTTGCCGGATATGATGGTGGCCTGGACCCGCGGCAGCAGCCAAACCTCACCGTACCGGAGTACACCAGCCAGGTCAACCTCACTATTATCGACACTATGTTTATATAGCAAGCGCTCGCTTTTACTGATAACAACTTGTATGTTACACCTTTGTTAATATTAAGGCTGTCATGAATAAAAGGTAAGGGTCAAGTGTAAAACATTAACAAGAGACATAACGAGGACGTTGGAGTTTTAACAGCAGGAATAATATAAACGGTAATACGATTAATCTAACACTCTTTCTTGTTTGTGCACCCTTCTGGTCCGAAAAAAAGCTCAGACGGTCAAGAATTTCGTCCTTCAGCTAATCATGTGCTTTGTCGGTTTTGCTTAGTACCTTTGGTAAGATGTTCATGTTTTCGGTAGCGTTCGTGTGTATGTGTCTGTATAGTAAACACGATAGCCTGATAAGGCTTGGATGGGTTGTCTTGACACTGGTATGTGGGTAGGTCTTGTTGGTGACTGTAGAATATATTATTACAGTTAACCGGAGACCTTAGCGGCACGAGGGTGGGCCTGCTGAAGGAAGGGTTCGGCCAGGAGCTGTCAGAAGCTGACGTGGACGACATGGTGCGTCACGCGGCTCACGGGCTGACGTCCGCCGGTGCTACAGTGGAGGAAGTGTCCGTCCCAATCCACTATCCCGATGGTATGTATTGTTTTTATTCCATCGAAGCTGTTAAGCTGCACCGTTGCCTGTGAGGTCGAATTCAATCTTGTACTTGATAGGTATAGTTCGACACGCAACAAAAAGGTACAACAAAAAAAAAATCACTAGGGCTTACATTTATAACATTTTTAATGTTGTTCACATTCTCAAGAGAACCTATTGTTTTTGCTCCATTCGCTTTCTGACAAATAAGGTCAATGACCTAGACCAGACGGCTGTCACCATGTTAACTGGTGCTATAGCAGACACCCTGTGGTGTTGGGTTACATTATGTAACAAGAAGCAGTTTGTTGAGTTGGGGTGCTGGTCACCATATATATGTGTTGCCTTTCTAGTTCTAGATGGTTCCCCCCCCCCCCCCAAAAAAGCTTTCGTGTTTTGGTAAGTATTTTTTAAGTTAAGATCTGTACTGAACCTTTGTTTTCACTCTCAGGTACTCACATTTGGAATGCATTGTCAGTCCAGGGAGTCATGCAGATCATGATGAAAGCAGACGGTACGTCAAATTAATGACATTTTGTTTATTTCTTAGGGGCTCTAAGTTTTTGTAGAAATATCAAACTCTCTAAAATGTTTGCATTCGTATTATATATCAAGGAAATATTTCCTCGTGATTTCCAGGAGTTGGTGTTGGATGGAAAGGTTTCTACCCGACGAGCATGATGGGTTCTCTCGCGAGAGGATACAAATCTCGCGGGAACGACATGTCAGCGACACTGAAGCTCCTGGCCTTGCTTGGCGAATACCTCAACGAGAACTATGGAAACAGGTAATGTCTCTAATATGGCATAACAGTTCAGTACGTAACAGATAACAGTGTAGGGAACACTTTATATCATCATTCACACCTTTAAACATCTAGGCAAAATTAAGGAAAATGTTCAAACCACAAGTAAATGAAGTTTCATTTTGCTGTTTCTCAAGTTTTTTTTCAACTTATTTCATGCCGCCATCAACGTAGAGGACAGATACGGGAAAGGACAATACTAATTTTCACTTGAGTTAAGTGAGGAAAGTTGTGTAAAGTGCCTTTCCCAAGGGCACAAGATCGGTGGCGTGTCAGGACTCGAACCCGGGAGCTCTTGGTTCCGAGTCGAGCACTTTGCAGTTACACCACACGACCCACTGTACGTATTGTGTTGAATGAAATGATTCAAAGAATGCTTTTTTGTCTATCTACAGGTACTATGCCAAGGCCCAGAACTTGTCTCGAACGCTGACCAATGCGTACAACGAGGCCCTGGATAAGTATGACGTCCTCATCATGCCTACTATTCCGTACAAACCTCTGAAGCTTCCCGATGAGGATGTGTCCATCAGCGGTGAGTTCCCTCACATTGTGTACAAACCTTGTGCATGTTATTCTGTTTCAATGATTGTAAGATAACTTTCCTTAGATATTTCTTTTTTGCACTTTAGGATTGCAGCAGACTAGCGAAGATACCCGCAAAGAACTACGTTTTCCCTTCTGTCATACTACTCTCCTAACAGAGTTGTAAGCTTCGGCTTATTTTGGCCTGCTTCATACGGCTTTCTTTTTTGTATTGGTGCCTTTTTTATGCCGCAGAAGGTATCTGCAAATGGATACTGCCAGACCTATTCCACACTGTCTTTGCAGCCACTAAAAGGTCTGCTTGGATCTCAGTCTGTCAAACTTCATCAATAGAAGTTAAACTTTTCTCAGCTCACAGTCGGTGGGTGAAAATGCAAATGTCACACAGTTTCAAGTTTCTGACCCCTTCCCCACTAGTATGAAATTGTCCGGATCGAGCCGTGTAAATTCGCTTTGATCCGGTTTCGATTCGGCTCGATCCGGACAATTCTATTCTAGTGGGGAAGAGCCAGAGATTTGAAACTGGCTTGAAACAATTTGCATTTGCACCTACCGACTGTGAGTGGGAAAAGGGCCTAAAGAACTGGCAGGTGTAACATGTAACCGTCTATGACCTGCTTGTTTCAGAGATGTGTGGCATGGCACTGACTCAGATCTACAACACCTGTCCCTTCAACGTCACCGGACATCCGGGGCTCAGCATCAATGCCGGATTCCTACAGGGACTTCCGGTCGGCATGATGATCATTGGCCGCCATTTTGAGGACGCCACTGTGCTGAAGGTGGCTCACGCATTCGAGAACATTCGAGATTCGAATTTGTAAATTTGGTCCATATACATGATGTTGTCGCCCACTTCTCGTGTAAAGAGCAAATGTGCATTATATGTAATGTTCTTGAAGGAATGGTTAGTATCTATCAATGTAGGCTTTCTTGAATAATAATGAAAGTAATGAACGGTTACGGAAGCCAACGCAAGATGTACGGAAACTACAAGCATCTGTCGTAGTAGGTCTGTTGGTATTTTAATGTTGTGTATGCAAAATTTTTCTGACATTATACGGTTTATAATGGACCTTTTCATATATGTTAGCTACACATTTAGCAACTGGATAATCATCAATAAACAGTGTCAGAGAGAATGCGATGCACATGGATGGAATTTTTCTTCTCATTTATATAAAGCTGGTAAGGGTGATCAGTACTCAGATTTTACCTTCAATAGACGTAAAATACAACAATTGATAACACGTGAGTCTTCAACTAGGGCGGTTTTTGTCCGATGTCATGGTGCTTTTTAGCAGATTCATGTTTTATCCTTTATAAAAGCGCTTGCAAAATAGTTACTACTGATTACTAAACATAATTCTATTTTAGTACATCAACGCCTTATATAAATTCTATTTGATGATGCTGTAAATCTTTTACTCTTTCTTTATACATTGTGTACATGTACATAATAGTCAAAGTCAAACTTTATTGCACAACAATTGTAGCAGAAACAATGTATGGCAAGCTCTTCAGAGGTACTTGCCTGCAAAGCTGGTGTGTTATGCCGAAGGGCGGTTATACCGGCTATACTGATACAGATACTACATATCAAACTGATATCTATTCTAACATCTACAGTAATGCTTATAAGTTCTATATATATCAAGACTAACACTACACTATTTTCTTTATTACCACACTATTTCATATAGGTGATACAATATATATGTAAAATGGCTTACATGATAATGTAGTTATAGGCATCATCTGCTGTCTCTTATTCTTTCGTACGTAACTTTGAGGACTGTTACGTCATCAAAATGGCGGCCGACGATCATCATGCCGCTACGCTCACTCGGTGGTTTTATTCGGTGGTTATAGCAACTGACAAGGCTTCATATCACACCATATACATCTCAGGGCGGGTCATTAACCCTTAATTATTATCCAACGGGATAAATTATATTTGATGATACTGTAATTCTTTTACTTTTTTTTCATACATGTACATGATATGCATCATCTGCTGTCTCTAATCCTTTCGTACGCATGCGCCACTCTGAGCACTATTACGTCATCAAAATGGCGGCCGACGATCATCATGCCGACGGGCAGCCCATGTGAGAAGCCGGCATTGATGCTGAGGGCGGGATGTCCGGTCAGGTTGAACGGACACGTGTTGGCTACCACTTTGAACCCTGGCTGACAGAACTCTGAAAAAAAAACAAGGTATGTACAGTTACTGAGTGTGCTGGGTTGGGGGGGGGGGTCACGATATTGCTGTATTCTTTGTTACAATCACAATAAGCTATATGACATAAAAATAATATATAATTATATAATTTTGATTGACATATACCTCTAAAGTTGGCAATATTGTTGTCGGGGGCCTTTTGGCCTGAGTACATGTATCACTTTCAATGGTTGGTTGGTTGGTTTTTCGATGTTTGGGTGGTAAGAAGTAATTTGCATTTGCATCGGGGCTCAGGGCCATTGTTATGCCCGTTCTGTGTACCAGGCCTGTGAAGCAATCTCTGTTTTTACCTGATCCTATTTCGACCAATTATTTGAGTCACACATCGTCATTACTCTCACACCACCCAACCAGCTATTCTCATCTTGGCATTTCTTCTTTTGAAACTCTTGGGTCACGTTATTGCGTTTTTCTATGGGAAGATACCGTAAAACATAAAGATTATGCTATAACAATAAAAACAAATTTTAGATCACCTTTGATAGAAACGTCCTGGTTTGGAATCTCCGGTGCCTTGAAGGGAACTGTGGGTAGAACCAGTACGTCATACTTCTGTAGAGCGTTGTTGTACGCCTGCGTCAACACGCGGGACAGGTTCTGTCCTTTGGCATAATACCTGAGGATTAAACAAAACTTTTACTAAAAAGGTAACATTTCCAAAGTAAATACAGTATGTTTACCTTCACATAGTCTAGTCCAACAAACTACTGCTTTGTTCATTCTTACTATTTAACACATTCATTTATATGGTGACCAGCCCCTCAACTTGCTACATAATGTAATCCAACACCACAGGGTGTCTGCTACAGCACTAGTTACCATAATTACAGCCGTCTGGTTCAGGTCATTGAAATTATGTATTAGGAGAAGAAGGAGAAACTTGGAAAAGGTAAACATAATAAGGCACCTGTGCTTTAAAATATAACATGGGTTTGGTTTGCCTCTAAGGCAAAAATGGACTCAATGCGTGCAGATATTTTGCAGGCGATTGTAGCTATACCGCACGCAAGTTTACAAAGTGTCTGAAGAAGATAGATTGAAGAATACTTTTAGTAGCCTTGCCTGTCTTGCAACCAACTCACCTGCCACCGTACGTCTCTCTCATATACTCGCCAAACAACATCAGGTGCTTCAGGGTGTGGGAGGTATCACTCGCGCGAGACTTGAAACCTCTCGCGAGAGCTTCTAGCATGCTTGTTTGGTAGAAACCTTTCCATCCCACTCCCAGTCCTGAAACGACGAATCAAACTGCGTGAGCTTTTAAAGTCGCATACATGTAATGGTCACTTTCAAAAACGCATATTACTAAAAATGTACTCAAACGTTAGGTGGGTAAGCAAAACAATTACCGATTTAAAAAAATCTCATAGCGACAGTGGATAAATCAAGTGTGGAAAAAAGTCTAACCGTGTCCCTTAACCATGGTCTCCAACGTTCCTTCAATGGCCACCGTGTTCCACAGATGGCCTCCTATGGAAAAAAAAATCGTCATGAGCAAAATAAAATATTTAACGGTCTTACAGTTCGTTACCCAAGTAAATAGTGACAGTATATTGCAACAAAAACGCTTTTAAAATGCTGGCGTCAAATGCTGGGAATAGCTGGTTGGGTGGCGTGAGTGTGATGATGACGATGTGTGACTCACCTAATTGGTCACCTAATAAGACTTTGGTAATATGTACAATCGTAATATATTATAAACTCTTCCTAACGGAGAAGAGACATTTTGTAATAGTTAATTAGCGGCTACGTGTGATAAAAATTACGTCACTTCTTGATTCATTCGGCCAGTGTATCCTTCCTGACATGTGCTTGGTTTTCAAAAATATTTTGTATCTACTACTTAATATGTAATGACACACACTGACAACGCTTCAAAATTTTGCACAATGAAGATAACACACCGTCGTGGTGCATAGGAACGGATACTTCTTCCACAATGGCGCCCGCTGACGTCATCAGTCTGTGTGCCGCGTCACGCACCATGTCGTCTACGTCAGCTTCTGACGTCATTAGGCCGAACCCTTCCTTCAGAAGGCCAATCCTGATCCCGCTTACATCCCCCGTTAACTTGAGCGGAACATAGATTTCAGTTGAGTTTATGTTTGGCATGAGTATACATGAGAAATGCTAATTTATAAAAGTAATTGTGGATCCAACTAAAGTCAATTTAAGTCAAAGAACGAATTTGTCTGCCTGGTACGTTATATTCTACTAGACCTGAGCAAAACACAAATTTTAGATAGCACTTAGTACTTGCCATGCATGATAAGTCACTTTTGGGATCGCTCTCTCACCTGACTACTGTAGTTCTGAGCGGAGACGTTGGGAATCTGTCGGGGGTCTAGCCCGTCATCGTATCCAGCCAGCACCTGTGGAGTCCAACGATAGAATGTTACTTCAAGCGCCACTTTATCATTCACCAGACCTTCTTAAAGGGGTTAGGATAGTAAAATTCGCATGAATATGGTCTGATTGGCCAGGGGAGTGGGCCCACCATCAGGGTTTCTTTTCACTAGACTCCCCAGGCCCCGGCCCCCTATTTGGGTAAATTTTACTGCTTTTAACCCGCGGTGTTAGTATGTTGGAGATTAGTAACATTTAAGGAATGACAGATACACACTTATCCACGAGCAATTTTAAAAGCCAGAATGATCGGCTGAAACCTTGGCTGAAAAGAGTTATGGTTTGAACGGTGAATGTGTCTAACTGACCTCTAGCATCACGGCGACGTCCTCAACAGTCCTGGCCATGGGTCCGACGTGGTCCAGCGTGGTCTCCACAGAGACACAGCCCGTGTAGGGGACCAGTCCGTAGGTCGGCTTCAGTCCCACCACACCGGACCAGGCCGCAGGGATCCGGATAGAACCACCCTGGTCTCCGCCTATGGCGAGGTCCACCTCCCCAAGTGCAAGCTGCAGGGTGATGTTCAAGCAAGATACCGTGTACGAATGAGCGAAAATGCAATCACGATTGAAAATCTTTTGTCCTCTGCTTACAACTTTTACATCATTTCGGCTATGATAGTATAAACTACAATTCTTCTTACTTGAACAGTGCAGGCCTCTGACAGTCTTGCACGACGATCAACCAAAAACGAAGTTTAAACCTGCCCTTATCGGGTTTGACGCGGCCCCTGCAAATCTGATTTTAATCGCCAGATGACGCCTCTGACAGGTTGCAAAACCAGAAAAGTTACTACCTGGCATGCGCTGGCATGTTTCAGCAAAATCCCACAGCTGTGGATAAAATTTCTGTACAATTCCTAGAATTCTTGCAAACTGCACACAATACTGTACCATTAGGCGCCAACCTAAGGTGTCGCCAAAAATACATCATTAACATACATTTGTAGAAGGCGAAATGCTCACCAAAGCTGCGCTGCCGCTACTGGAGCCCCCAGACGAACGCCCGGGCATGTGTGCGTTCTCTACCGGGCCGGTAGCTGCCGTGAAGCTGCTGGGAGACTTACACATGTCCTCACACACCGCTTTACCTTTGATAAGTCCACCTGGACAAAGAACATTAACAGTAGGTCAACTTGTGGTGCTGTCAGTACGTAGTTCGTACGTGTTACGGTATCCTGGTCTACAACACTGAATTACTAAGTATCCCATATCCTATTACTAATAATAAACAAGAGCCCGTAGGACACAATCCACTGTGAATTTACTATGCTGCTTACGGTGTGAGTGAGTTGTTTGTGAGTGAGACAAATTCATCAAATAGATCGTGAGCCTACAGCTGCAAACGTACAGACATAACTATCAAACTACAATACTCCTGTCAGAGGTCACAGAGATATATCACATTTGTCAGTTTTCTTCTAGTAGTGCATATATTAGGTTTTAAGTTTCTTGAATTGACTCCTCGAATGAAATAATGAAAGAAAAGCTTCAAAACCTGCATCTAAGATCCTTGATACGATGGTGGCATCATACTCTGGCACATATCCCTCCAGTACCCTACTGCCGTCTATCATAGGTACCCCCGCCACGGCCACGTTATCTTTGATGGCCACGGTCTTCCCTTGTAGCTTTCCTGAAGGAGCACCCGTGATCTCTGTTCGCCAGTACCTTGGTGTGGGAAAGGACAAAATTATCACACAAATAAAGGGCCTTAAAGCGATTTGAAACATTCAGAACCTTC